AGGCATGGTGTACACTTCTAACCAAATGTTGGAATTATTAGTTAAAGCTGACGAATGTTTCTGATATAGTAAATATACAAATCTTAAAATTAATGCTAGCTTTCATCCATACTATTAGTTAATTGATTTTCCTTACAAAGAAAACACTGCGATGATTTGTCAGCGCACCAACGAAATGCCAGCCCTATACAAAAATGTACATAGAAACCATGACTATCTCTGCATACCTCTTTATATTTAAGTACCAATGGTGGCGGGACGGTGATTTTTCCATTAAACAACAGGCTATACAGCCTGGCAGAGAGATGTAATGTGTAACTATTCATCAAGTCTAGGCATTTTCACAATCTAGAACACATGTTAAGGTTTGACTTACTTACAACTTGACGCCGAATAGGAAAATGTTTCATGTTTTCAAGCAGATTCTTATTCATTATAAAATGATGCAAATATACTAAACAAAAAAAAGAAAGGTAACACTACTTTATTCTGTGATTAATTAATTAACCCCTTCATAAAACCTTACCAATCATGTACAAATAAAGTAATTGGTCAATTCTGATGAAACTGCAGTCATGGTTCATTATAAAACTTTGCGTTCAGTTGATTTTATTCGACTGTAAAGGACGTTGGGGTCAATTTCAAAGGTAACACCATTAGTAACGGGTATGCCCATCGTTTGCGAAGTAAACAGCATTGCAGCGTCGTCGCATGGAACTCAAAAAACCGGCGGATAATTAGAGGAGAGATGTTGTTCCATTCAGCGATCAAGGCTTGGGCCAGTTCCTGCAAGTTTGACGGCTGATTTTGACGTTCTCTCACGCGTCGCCCAAGAACGTCCCAGATATGCACAATCGGTGACAAATCAGGTGATTTAGATAGCCAATCTTACACCTGTACGTTATTCTGCTGCAAGAAAGTTCTGCTGACGCGACTTGTGTGCGCTGATGCGTTATCCTGTTGAAAAAAGGCGCCAACGCCGTGGCGTTTTAAGAATGGCTGAACCACTGGTCTTAAAATTTCGTCCCGATATCGAATGCCGGTTAAATTACCATTTAACACAACAAGCCTGGTACGAGTCCTCCCACAAATACCACCCCAAACCATTACACTTCCGCCCCGGTCCCGTTCTGCGAGGCAGCAGTTCGCAAAACTCTCCCCTCGTCGCCTCCACACTCTGCGCCTTCCGTCACCGTGTTGCAGACAAAACATGGACTCATCTGAAAACAGAACATTGTTCTATTGCCGTAAGGCCCAACGACGGTGAACACGGGTCCAGTTACGCCGATTATTACGGTGACGTCGCAACAAATTGGGTCCAGTGTAGGGACGCCGCGCTTTCAATTGGTAGGCTCTTTGGGGAGACACACGACGCCCAAACAATGTCCTTGCAGTCTCTACTGCGGTTACGAATCGATTGCGCAAGTGTATCAATCGTATACGACGGTCATCTCTGGCGGTCGTTTTACGGGGTCGGCCGCTTCGGGGAAGATCGGATGTTGACCCAGTTTGGTTTAAACGATTTACCAACTGGCAAATTGTCTTAACACTGCAACCAAAATGCTGTGCAGCTCGACGGCGAGACTCCCCAGCCTGGATCATGCCTACAACCCTTTCTCTCTGTACTTGTGACAGCCGGGGCATAATGACAAAGTTGATAGATAGCAAGATTCGGTTATTTCTAACAGTTGTCAGTTTGAATGTTTATGAAATTCAAGCGAAGATACAAGTTAGTCGCAGAAAACCTCTTGCAGCGCTTTCGCTAATACAGACTTTCACGCTTGAATGATTTTGGTAACCCCCTTGGATTTTGTTATGTAAAACATTACCATTTTCTAACATTGCACAAACGTCATTTTGTTTTCACTCATTTACAGGTATTTTCCAAGGAAACATGTTAACTTTTCTTTTTTTGTTGAGTATATATAAATATGCAATGTTTATTCACACACATACCCCTAAACACACGTCCTCACTTCTACATATGATCACAACCTATACCACACATATTTACATATACCCTACATTAACTAAACATAGGCATGCAACACACTGACATAAATGTAGTAAAGAAAACGGATAGCTAAAAGCTGAACAAAAATAAGAAAAAAGACCTATTTTTTGAGAGAGGACGAGAGGACGAGGTCAAACAGCTATATTTGAGTTATAACTAGTGTGTAATCTTTGGAGTTAAACATGTTTTCTGGTACTCTCGTAAATAAATGTCAAAGTGAATTAGCATCCACAATGCTGACTTACCTTGTCTACTTCTACTGCTGTCATTACTAGAAATTATTCATTACAATGTAATATACCTACATAAAATTGTCAGGGGTAGGCAGGATCATGTTCAACTAGTTTCAACAATTGTTTTCCGTTCTGAAGTTATATTTTTAAGATATTGTTCACTTTTACCATAAACAATATATCTCTGGGCCCTGTAGTAATCTTGAATCAAATTAACAAGAACTGTAACATTGAGTGACTTGTGTACACATCTGGTTTTACTCTGCTTTATAAACGGAAAACCTTCAATATCAATTCTAATATAATTTCCATAGTTTTCTTATTTATTGAAAAGGGGATAGTGAGAGCTTCCAATATATTTTATAAATTCATCAAAACGTTCTGATTTTAGTCGAACATCAATGTTTTGATCCATTGTTAAGATTTCTTGAACTAAAATTTTCCAAGGTATAATTTCATTTTCAAGTAATCTCTTTAACCATTTCAATTTTAAATATTTGATCAAAGAAATGATATGTGTCATTTGAAGGTCTCCGTTTTCTAACAAACCAATCAAGGTGTCCCTTTTAATTTTTTCCACTTTGTAATTCCAAATAAACTTGTACAGTATGCTATTTAGTGAGCAATATTCTACTCCAGAACTTGATCAGAGCTTTAAGTTAAAATTACCTTTCATCAAAATTCAATTAAGTTATTTTGTAAAGATCTTCACGAAAGTCAATCCCAGAGTAAATTTCTCAACACACCCTTCCTTTCTCCGCGTAGATATGACTTCCCTTCTTTCTCATTGCAACTTTGGAATAACTTTGGATAAAAATGCCCATTTTCTAAATTAAAGCAAATCAGTGTCAACAGAGTCTATTATATCTGAATATATGTAAACTGAGTCTATCGTGGTTCAATATATCTCAACAAAGTATATCATATCTAAATATATGTTAATTGAGTCTATCATAACTTAATATATGTAAACTGAGTCTGTTATATATAAAACATCTCTCTGAGTCTATCATATCTAAATATATGTTAACTGAGTCTATCATATCTAAATATATGTAAGCTGAGTCTTTCATATCTAAATATATCTAATCAATATATATATCTCCAGAGATATTATCATATCTAAAGATATATAATATAGGTCTATAAAATCTAAATATATGTAAACTGAGTTTATCATATCTAAATATACCTAAGCAGACTTTATCATATCTAATTACATATTAACTGAGTCTATCATATCTAAATACATATTTATGATGAGCAGTTCTCATGTACATCCGCATATGATACAATAGAGAACATCAAACATTGTGAAAGATAACCAGGAAAACGGAAGTGTGAAATGATAATGGCCGTTTATTACAAAAAACGACATGAAATAAAAACATGTATACAAGACCATGTTACATCACGCTGGAACAAAGTTTCGTGTATGCATAAATAATTACACAAACTAACTCAGATAAAAACGATACTGACAAAGCTTTACCCTGTCCTTATAGGCGGGAAATGTGTTTCCTGGGCCCAATAGATCTGTTTATGATATTGTTGATCAACCAAAAACATAAATAACAATGTGTTATCCAAGATGAGAACAGAAATGTTAAAGTATAACTCATTATTGAATTCAAATGAGGTATCCAAGCCTTTCACTAGTTAACGGAGCGAAAGTAACCATGACTTTTTGATAGTACAACATACAGCTAAAAAGAAAATGAAACTACAGGGTAAACAATTTCCCGATAAGTGTTATGCCCCTTTGACTACAAACTGACTTCCACAAAATATGTATCTATCATGATCACCGTTACGTCCGCGGTCGCCGAAAATACTTATAAACACATGAAACATAGACTATGTAAGAAACAGACGAGACAACCGTCCGAATAAGCCGTACTTATTGTGTAATTCGACCCTGGATTGTTCGGTACGACTTGATGGCTGCACCCCGCACACTGCGATAATACCAAGGGATACCAAACATGTTCAAATGGACCCCATCTGGTATGAAAATATCCTCGCTACTGTTCTTTAATCCCCTATGTTTGTGGTAATGCATATCCGAATTATCAGCTAACACAGATTTCAATAGCTGGTTCACTTGGCGTACATTGTCATTATAAACTGCGACCGAAATGTTCCTAGTGCTCCGACGAAACAACAGTTGCATGACACAAACATGGCGGACTCCAAACCCAAACACCATCCACTGTACTACCGATAAGATACTTTTCGCTACCTGGCTAAGATCAGAACCACACCTGTCGATATCAACACCTCCGACTTGCAAAAGTACAACATTGGGCTGGTGAGTAGTTAAGACGAAATCACTTGAGATGTTAATGCTTACACTGTCACATTTACCGAGGAAATCGACCACCACCTCTGACTCCCGAAGGTTCAAATTATCCCACCGATTTCTAGCTGCAAAAATCTCGTTTTTCAAGGGTGGTCCGTACACTTATAACTAATTGGCAATCTGAATGATTGTAATACATGTTAACATTGATTATCACTTAAAACATGTAAACACTCAAAAAGCACAGACCTATACAGGAATATTGAAATAACATTTTCAAGCAATGCAAAACATATTTTTATCATGACAGTGAAAATCATCACATCGTTGTAGTAACTTTCAAATCATTACATCCATTTCTGCACTATGTGACGTACTCTTGGACAGTAGCTACTAACGCCTAATTTCACAGATATAGAATAGGTAAAATCCCCAACACAAACAGTCCAACATCAGAAAGTTGTCTGACTGTGCGGTACAACCACACCGCTGAATCCCGCCCTCTGGTTCACCATATCCCCATGTCCTCATGGAAGTATTGATTCCCTGGTCGTTGCTAACAAAAACCCAGTTGTTCGCCTCATTTCTTTTACGTCCGGTGTATATAAGATCATAGTATCCTGAAAATAGGAAATTGAGAAGTTGATGAAAATAAAAATATAAAGAAGCATGTATCAGCTTATGATTATCATTTCGGAAATGTAACCTTTATCTACAAAGAACAATTATAAGGCTTTTCAATTTTCTTATTCTGCATCATTTTTTTATTCACTCTCAACAGTGAGGAATAAAGAACGATGACGATGATAAAATTACCCAACGGCATATGTATATGGAGCACAAAAACTTCAAATGTTGTTGAGTTAAAACAGGTCTATATCAATTGATCATACCATTAACGACATTTTTTTGTCTAAACATCCACCCGGAAAAGTGATCATTATTCTTATATCGTCCTTTCCTAACAGGAAATATTGTGATATAAGTGATACTTACCAACACGACTCGGCAGGTTGCTCATTATGAACTTAGCTTCTGTGTCGGTTTGGATCTCAACAAGATTAGCTCCCATGTCATTGCACTGGGTCTGAATTGAGAAATACTTTAAACAGAATGTACGTGACAAAAATACATGATCTGGTTACGAATGAATATTTTACTCATTCCTTTCTTATGGAGATTCGTAACTTAATTTAAAACACGAATAATGCATTTCTGAATAGTTTAAAATCTGATAATCTTATCCTCAAAAGAACATGAACATTTAGAATTGGGTGATTGGTGACATTTTAAGTGATATTCTTCAATATGAAATAATTTATGAATATAGGCTTATCATACGTTTACATTGGTATATGTTAATGAAATGGAAAACATTAGTAAATAGATATATATAGGATTAAGTATAAACTGACCTCCCACATCGGATGACCAAATAAGGACAAAGTAAGAGATTACATTCAACAGTCACAATAATGTTAGTTCGACTTCATCTGTAATAAGCTAATACAGCAGGAAACCCTGTAGGACAGCATCGAACATTGCATTTGTCGATTTCATGGGATGATGAAATGAATTGCTCTTTAGACAAATTCAATGAACTGTGAATGCTGGATTGTCTCAAGAGCAACTCTTTCCATCACCCCATGAAATCGAAACTAAAAATAGTTAGATAAAATAAAATTGTGATAATTGATTTTGTCGATAAATTTTGGATACAATAAAAATTTCTCTGGCAGCTATGCGGAAGAATAATGTCTGCACTGAGATCTACGATCGTCTGTCGTTTCAGTGGGCGGCAGCCGTATATGAATGGTCAGGGAGTGTGTTTTGTGATCTTTCTCAGTGGCCTAAGTATCCATAGTATCATGAACTTAGTCAAGAAGCAGTTTTGTATTATAATCGCTTAGAGGATTATCTTGGTCTTGGTGGAGATTTTCATTTTCGTGCAATAAAGAAAATTGTGGCAGACGACACGTGTACACTTCACTCAGGTCTCAAGCAGATATCGACACATGCATATATATTCTGTAAACACCGGGGAAATTGTGAACTGAAGTATGAATGTGTCCATACTACAATGGTTAGAGGATTTTTAATATTTTGTAATGGAAATAAGCCTCATTTGTATAACTCACCATTGCTGTTGCCCATTCCGTCATCTGGAAAGATGAGGAGACATAATAACACTTTTCCGGGGACGTTATCCAGTCACTGTCACAGACAACTGGTGGAACAGGAGTCGGCGTCGTGGTTGTTGTACTTGCTTTAAACAGAATGAAAGTCTATATTATTTACACTGTTTTTCATCATACCTGTTGAATTTAAAATCAAAACAGCTTAGCCACTTTTGATTATCTGTCTAGCACTCATTAAACTAAATGTAAATATATTGTTTTCAGTTTCATATAATAAAATGCTTCGAAAACATTACGTAATCTATGAGATCATCAAATACATTTTTGATGATGTTATAATTCAGTCTTTGGAATGTCTCTTTAGATTCATAAAAAACAATAAAGATACAGAGAAATCTGTCAGGTATTAAAGAGTCGAAATTGCTGCAAATGTTCTGTATATAGTATATACTGTATTCTGGGTACAATATTTCCCATTTTGATATATAATTATGCAAAGAAAACAAGATCGAATTTCCTCACTAGTGTTTGTTAAAACCATGGAAAATATCAATCATGATGTCTGACAATAAGACACATTATTCTTTAACATATTTGTAGGATAGATATTTATTCGATCTAAATATTACCCGTAGTTGTATACCAAGTAGATGGCATCATCATTACTTGTGAATGAAATGTGTGACAACATGGATAAGAAATCCTATGGTGACACATTCGCCACATTAGGTAGTGTCTCTATCCTATTGTAAGTGGCACCAGAGCGAATGCCATCATGTAGGTATAAGCAGTTCACCAATCACCATCCCCGATTGTGTTTATATTGTCAGCAGTACGAATGCGAAAAAGTGAAGACTACTAGGAGAGTTCAGTTGTATAAAATGGTAATGAATGCTGTTTACCACAGCGACTAGGAACCACACATCTGGAACCTATTTCTGTCAAAAACATTAAGAACTTAGATTCTAGCCAGATTTGAATTGAGAACACGCCAGGCGTAGGAAAAAGGTCAACTATGTGATTTTTCAAATCTCAGATTCGGATAATAAGAACAGTTAGGTTCAGTTGTTTAACCGCTAAATCGGGGATGCTTATAACCAGGCGTATCACCTCCAAGTTATCAAAACAGTGTTCAATATATACATTATGCATCAAATGACTGTACAGGTACTCTGATGGTGAACGCGAGATGTGTCTTACAGGTAAACTTTGCTGATAGTGACACCTGTTCGACGAATAGTGAGAAAAAAAACAAAACACTGAACACTTTATGGACAGGGATGAGTAATAGTGGTCCGAGATCTCCGAGATTAGATATAACAAGTGTTAAGATCGAGTCCAAACGATCAGTTAAACGAATAGGAGTATTGGGGTTTTACGGTCAGAGCTGTTTAAAGACGCTACTAAATCCACGTCCTTTGACAGATGTTTATCCTAACATATAAACCCACTACAGACGACGGTCTATCACCGTTTATGTGAATAAATTTGTCTCGTTTAGTATCACTTAATACGCTTATCATCATCTTACCGTCGCTGTCCTCTCCTCCTAGTAGTTTACGTAATTCCGCCTGCTCATTTTTCAAAAGTCGTATTCTATTTCCAAACCCAGACAGGATTTTGGAGAACGTCTTAAGCTCGTCAGACACAGATCGCCTAAAATCGTCAATTTCCGTTTGGTTACATTTACACTGATTGTCGGAGTTCGTGGTTCCTTCGATCGCGTCGACTCGCCTTTGTAACTGACATACTTTCTCATTCAAATTGAAGTAAGTGCCATTTAAAAGCCCTACAATCTCGCTTGTTAAACTTCTCTCCTCAAATTTCTCTATGTTGTCGTCATCGTCGTGGTGGTGGTCACAACACGCTTCATCGTACTTTGATATCAGAATCAAAACAGCTAAAAGTAAATACGACTTCATCGTTCTGTACTCCTGCCGTAGAATGATATAATATCTCTCCACGTATGGCTGTAGTAAAAATTGTAGTCACGTGTTTTAACAAATATCATTGGTACCATTGTTAACGGATTCGTACTTTTATATCTGTATACTTGTATGTTCGGTGTCATCATTACACAACATACAAGACAAAAAATAAATAAAAAAGGACACACATACAATATTATTATAATGAATTGTATCACACGATTCGACAAAAAATAAGCTATTACACTCTTGCTTTCCGGTATGTATGTACGCGGAAGTCTAATATGGGTGAGAACCAGAAGGCATGAGGAAACCCACATGGTGGGGCAAGTGTCCCTAGTGAAAGACATGTTACGTTTATCATTAACAACTGGGGAGGATGATGATGATGATGATGATGATGATGATGATGATAATAACACATCGGTGCATGTGTATATGTTTCCAGTCTACCACCATTCCCCGTTTAGTTATATGCAAACGAGATGAGAATATATCAGGCTATGAATGCCTGTTTGTGCGAGCATATGATTACATATTCGGGGTCAAGGCAATCTTGTTAGATATAAATGAAATATTTCCATTCTGTGTTACATTCATCTGTATATCATAACTACGCCTAATTGTAGTATATAAGAATGTATACTATCAATTACAGTGATTCGGTCTAGATTTTTGCTAGGTAAAAAACAAAACAAACAAAAAAATAAATAAAACTGGCCGCCGGTCACTTTCAATTCAATATTCAGTATACTCACATATCCGAAGTTCCTTCACACAAAAAAAGTTACTTTACAAAACCATCAAATTTTAACAGAACAAATTTATTGTCAATCATATGATTTATCAGAATCATTATTATCACCATAACACACAAGATTACCAAGTTTGTCAACTTCATCTGCTACAGTAGACGTCGATCGGACAGGCCAAAATTACAAATGTAGAATCCGTTTCAAACAAACTGTCGCTTCTGACCTGATCAAATTTCATTGATGTGCCCTCAAAACTTATATAGATCCCTGCATTTTTTATATTTACTTTTAATTTGATCATAGAAATTGCTCTAAACTCCCTGGATATTTCCTGTCTTACCAGATTAAGGAAACATTTTTTTCTTATTTTTCGTACAGATGAGTCTAAACCTAGAAGTTTTTAACTTTCATTGTCAATTTAACACCAATCATGACCATTCCGTGTATTTAAGTTATGTAAGTATTTGGTGCTCGCGCATGCGCTTCAAGCACAAAGTCAGAACTGGAAAAGGTCACACATGAAAATACCATACTGGCGGGACAGCATCATTGAAGGCATGGTGTACACTTCTAACCAAATGTTGGGATTATTAGTTAAAGCTGACGAATGTTTCTGATATAGTAAATATACAAATCTTAAAATCAATGCTAGACAATGTTAGTTAATTGATTTTCCATACAGAAAACACCGATGATTTGTAACATTAAAGAAATGAGCCCTATACAAAAATGTACATAGAAACCATGACTATTTTTAACTTTCTTTACATTTAAGTACCAATGGTGACGGTGATTTTTCCATTAAAAGCTATACAGCCTGGCAGAGAGATGCATGTGTTTAGTCACAACTGGAAAAGGCATTTTCACACAGAACACATGTTAAGGTTTGACTTACTTACAACTTGACGCCGAATCGCAAAATGTTTCATGTTTTCAAGCAGATTCTTATTCATTATATCAATGTATGAAGATGCATTTAAAAGCTATTTGGTTATAAAATCTCGTTTTGATTCTTAGTCAATTGTATCTATCACATAATTATTCTGTTATGGAAGTAATTTTTGAAAAACATGTGAACAATTCAGAAACAAACAAATAGAAAACGTGAAAATGTTTTGATTTTTAAAATTATTATCATCCATTTATTTACAAAGATTTTTACTTAAAATATTCATCTTCAAGACATGCAAAATTTTCACACCATTCACACCATTATAATTCCTACATGCATCATCATCATCATCATCATCATCATCATCATCATCATCTACAATGATGCAAATATACTAAACAAAAAAAAAGAAAGGTAACACTACTTTATTCTGTGATTAATTAATTAACCCCTTCATAAAACCTTACCAATCATGTACGAATAAAGTAATTGATCAATTCTGATGAAACTGCAGTCATGGTTCATTATAAAACTTTGCGTTCAGTTGATTTTATTCGACTGTAAAGGACGTTGGGGTCAATTTCAAAGGTAACACCATTAGTAACGGGTATGCCCACCGTTTGCGAAGTAAACAGCATTGCAGCGTCGTCGCATGGAACTCAAAAACCGGCGGATAATTCGAGGAGAGATGTTGTTCCATTCAGCGATCAAGGCTTGGGCCAGTTCCTGCAAGTATGACGGCTGATTTTGACGTTCTCTCACGCGTCGCCCAAGAACGTCCCAGATATGCACAATCGGTGACAAATCAGGTGATTTAGATGGCCAATCTTACACCTGTACGTTATTCCGCTGCAAGAAAGTTCTGCTGACGCGACTTGTGTGCGCTGATGCGTTATCCTGTTGAAAAATGGCGCCAACGCCGTGGCGTTTTAAGAATTGCAGAACCACTGGTCTTAAAATTTCGTCCCGATATCGAATGCCGGTTGAATTACCATTTAACACAACAAGCCTGGTACAAGTCCCCCCGCAAATACCACCCCAAACCATTACACTTCCGCCCCGGTCCCGTTCTGCGAGGCAGCAGTTCGCAAAACTCTCCCCTCGTCGCCTCCACACTCTGCGCCTTCCGTCACCGTGTTGCAGACAAAACATGGACTCATCTGAAAACAGAACATTGTTATATTGCGGTAAGGCCCAACGACGGTGAACACGGGTCCAGTTACGCCGATTATTACGGTGACGTCGCAACAAATTGGGTCCAGTGTAGGGACGCCGCGCTTTCAATTGGTAGGCTCTCAACCTGTTGCGGACTGTTTGGGGAGACAAACAATGTCCTTGCAGTCTCTACTGCGGTTACGAATCGATTGCGCAAGTGTATCAATCGTATACGACGGTCATCTCTGGCGGTCGTTTTACGGGGTCGGCCGCTTCGGGAAGATCGGATGTTGACCCAGTTTGGTTTAAACGACTTACCAACTGGCAAATTGTCTTAACACTGCAACCAAAATGCTGTGCAGCTCGACGGCGAGACTCCCCAGCCTGGATCATGCCTACAACCCTTTCTCTCTGTACTTGTGACAGCCGGGGCATAATGACAAAGTTGATAGATAGCAAGATTCGGTGATTTCTAACAGTTGTCAGTTTGAATGTTTATGAAATTCAAGCGAAGATACAAGTTAGTCGCAGAAAACCTCTTGCAGCGCTTTCGCTAATACAGACTTTCACGCTTGAATGATTTTGGTAACCCCCTTAGATTTTGTAATGTAAAACATTACCATTTTCTAACATTGCACAAACGTCATTTTGTTTTCACTCATTTACAGGTATTTTCCAAGGAAACATGTTAACTTTTCTTTTTTTGTTGAGTATATATAAATATGCAATGTTTATTCACACACATACCCCTAAACACACGTCCTCACTTCTACATATGATCACAACCTATACCACACATATTTACATATACCCTACATTAACTAAACATAGGCATGCAACACACTGACATATATGTAGTAAAGAAAACGGATAGCTAAAAGCTGAACAAAAATAAGAAAAAAGACCTATTTTTTGAGAGAGGAAGAGAGGACGAGGTCAAACAGCTATATTTGAGTTATAACTAGTGTGTGATCTTTGGAGTTAAACATGTTTTCTGGTACTCTCGTAAATAAATGTCAAAGTGAATTAGCATCTACAATGCTGACTTACCTTGTCTACTTCTGCTGCTGTCATTACTACAAATTATGCATTACAATGTAATATACTAACATAGGCAAGATCACGTTCAACTAGTTTCAACAATTGTTTTCCGTTCTGAAGTTATATTTTTAAGATATTGTTCACTTTTACCATAAACAATATATCTCTGGGCCCTGTAGTAATCTTGAATCAAATTAACAATAACTGTAACATTGAGTGACTTGTGTACACATCTGGTTTTACTCTGCTTTATAAACGGAAAACCTTCAATATCAATTCTAATATAAATTCCATGGTTTTCTTATTTATTGAAAATGGGATAGTGAGAGCTTCCAATAGATTTTCCAAATTCATCAAAACGTTCTGATTTCAGTCGAACATCAATGTTTGGATCCATTGTTAAGATTTCTTGAGCTAAAATTTGCCAAGGTGTAACTTCATTTTAAAGTAATCTCTTTAAGCATTTCAATTTTAAATATTTGATAAAAGAAAGGATATGTGACATTTTAAGGCCTCAATTTTCACGCAAACCAATCAAGTTGACCCTTTTAACTTTTTCCACTTGGTAATTTCAAATAAACTTGTACAGTATGCTATTTAGTAAGCAACATTCTACTCCAGAACGTGGTCAGAGCTTTAAGTTAAAATAACCTTTCATCAAAATTCAATAATTTAGTTTTTTTGTAAAGATCTACACGAAAGTAAATCCCAGAGTAAATTTCTCAACACACCCCTCCTTTCTCCGTGTAGATATTACTTCCCTACTTTCTCATTGTAACTTTGGAATGACTTTGGATAAAAATGCCCATTTTGTGAATTTAAAAAAATAAGTGTCAGCAGAGTCTATTATATCTAAATATATATAAACTGTGTCTATCATATCTAAATATATGTAAACTGTCTATTAAATCTAAATAAGCAAATTGTGTCTATCATATCTAAATATATGTAAACATAGCCTAGCGTCGTTTAGTATATTAATACATTGTCGAGATTTAATACATGTAAACATACCCTGTCGTGGTTCAGTATATGTAAACGGGACCAGACGTGGTTCATTTTGTAAATACATCGTTTGTCGAGATTTAATATATGTACACAGAGCCTGACGTGGTTCAATAAAAGTAAACATAGCCTGTCGTGGTTCAGTATATGTAAATAGAGCTGGTGTGGTTCAATATATGAACACCGACCCTGTCGTGGTTCAGTATATGTAAATAGAGCGTGTCGTGGCCTAATATATCTCAACAGAGTCTATCATATCTAAATATATGTAAACAGAGTCTATCATATCTAGATATATGCAAAATGTGTCTATTATAACTAAATATATCTCAACAGAGTCTAATAAATCTAAATATATGTAAATTGAGTCTATCATATCTTAATATATCTCAGCATATTCTACCATATCTGAAGATATGTGAACTGAGTCTATCATATCCAAATATATGTAAACTTAGGCTATCGTGGTTCAATATATCTCAACATAATTTAACATATCTATATATATTTCTGTCCTGATTCAACACTGTCGTAGTTCTACATATGTAAACAGAGCCTGACGTTATTCAATATATAAACACAGACCCTGTCATGGTTCGTCATATGTAAACAGAGTCAGACATTATTCTATATACGAACACACACCCTATCGTGGTTCATCATATGTAAACAATGCCTGACGTTATTCAATATATGAACACATACCCTGTCGACGAAGTCTTGGGATAGTTCAAAACCGTATATTTGTATTTATCTCTCAAGCCCTATGGGACCAAGATCCAACATTCATACCAAATTTGTTTCCTTCTTGGAAGCATATTACTGGCCAATTGCGGTCAAAATCTGCTCGTTGTGGTATAAAAATCCTTCACACCAGGTGATATAGATGTATAGGTTATTCTCTCCTTACGATCACTTTGGACTTTCCTCAGTCGCCCAATACACTTTTCGCTTCACTGCCATGTCCTAGAGATAGCCTTTCCTTCATCGTTTGTCTCTAGTGTATCTAATCTGTATCAAAACGTGTTATTCACTTGTGTTTCTTTGAATTACCTTTATCTGCATACCCAGTACAAAGATGTACCTATTTTTTATATTAAGGTCATGTTAAAATCACAAAATTTTGAACAATGGAAACAATCTGTATATTCTAGTCAAAGATCATACGGCAGTTATTTCGAAGGAGTCATTGATTGCTATTAATTTGTTTTCTTCCACGCAACTGTAAACTTTAGCAAAATCAAAAGCTGCACACTCACCTTATCCTCCTCTCCCTCAATGCCAATGGGTAATGGATTATCAACAATACTTAAAAACACAATTATCCTTTCATTAAAAATTTTATTCATAATTTCGGTAATGAACGAAGTTTTCGGTGCGTTGTGCGTTACCACAAATGTACATATAATCAATATACCGACTAATTTATCAATTTAAACAACGAAGTGCATATTTGATGTGGTAAGCTACCCATTTCTTCATCAACATGCAATAGCGTAATCAGCAAATCAATACATCTCTTGACAGTTGCAACACTTTATCAGGCTATTTTGATTAGAAGACGAGACAGACTCACACAAAAGAGAACTAAAAGAAGACCCTAGAAGAAAACTCACAAAAACAAATGTGACATTTCTTCAATAGTCAACAGAACTGCTAGTCTTCTTTAGTCACGAATAAAACATGTTTAAACATACACATTCGAATATTGTCTCTAAACAACAGCCGTCGAAATCAAGTGGTTTAACATCAGTCAAACGAAAATAATCCAAAGTATAAGAGTAATAGATGAATCAAGATCTGACGAAACCAGCCAAAAACTGGAACTGAAAAGTATTGCGTTGAAAAACTAGCAGTGGAACTATATAAAAAGAAAATGACAACGCTGTTTAAAACGACAAACATATATCTTATTATGGCATAAACACAGATATCATCATACGGAAACACAACTGGCGAGAGCTTATGACACTTAGAAAATGCTTCAATCCATTATGAACCAAATTGGAAAATTATAAAAAAAAAAATAAATAAATAACCATGATATACAGAATTACTATAGGAAATATTCATTGTGGAATGTCAGTGATATCAGAATTGGGATTTAAAAAATTGAGGAAGACTTAATTTTATGGTACACAGGATTAACTAGTTCTAGATATAATTTTATTAAAATATTCAATGGTATAAACAAGAACATAATTAGCAATGGAAAATAAAATTGATCGCAAGTTTTATACTCAATAAGAATTAAAATCTTCAATACAATGAAACGATAATGAAACGTTTTCTTTCATGTACACTAGACAATCATGCATCTTAAACGAAACATGTTCAATGGAAATGTTATGTTTCTTTATCAATTAACTTACATATAAACCATCATCAGAATGCTTATGTCCAGTACTGAGTTGGTTATTGTATGATATAGAAATACAAACAACGCATTCAAACATAAAAAAATACATGAAATATGCATCTCGTACACAAAATGTATTATCTCGGTCACACTCACGTGCACACTGTCTTACAAAAATGCCTCTGTCTCGATCTACAAAATGTCATGCGTACACAAAATGTATTATCTCGGTCATACTCACGTGCACACTGTCTTACATAATGCCTCGATCTCGGTCTACAAACTGCCTTGCGTACACAAAAATGTATTTATCGCGGTCTACAAACTGTCCTGCGTATATAATTTTTCTATTGCGGTCTATAAACGGTCCTCCGTACACAAACATTTGTTTATCGGTCTACAAACTGTCCTGCGTACACAAAAATGTATTTATCGCAGTCAACAATCTGTCCTGCGTATACAAAAATATATTTTTCGCCGTCTACAAACTGTTCTGCGTACAGAAAAACGTATTTATCTCGGTCTACAAACTGTCCTCCAATGTTTTCCATTGAAACGTGCAAATGGAAATACGACGGGCTTCAACGCCACTGAAGATTCGTTGAACTAAAGGACACACGTGTTTAAGTACTGATGCCTTATATTCAGAAAACATATGGACCAGATAACATATTATACATGTACATAATGTATCCAATCAACCTATCATTGCTATATCTTTTTCTGCTACGTTTTTGTCAGAGAATTATCTTCTGATGAATTGCAAGTACTCCTGGAAAATAACTTCAACATCGACAAAACCAATGCACTGCAATATATGTTCTTTCCCGTTCAATTCTTGGCCAACAAAAATCGTACAAATCTTTCTCATCTAATATTTAGGTTAACATGGCGTGGAAAGTGAATTTCGAAGTTGAAAATTGAAAACCGAGTAGAAAGAAACAAAACATAGTGAAGAAAGCCGTTCCTAAAGTAGATGACAAACATATTTATCAGAAAAAGTATATGTTTTAAAATTATACAATGAAACGTTATAGTTTATGTATGGTACAATTTATACACAATGTTGGTAACTGTTTTTCATCAAGCAAAGGTATCACCATATTTGGTACTCAAAATGTCTTCAATGTCCATCAAAACATTATCATGAAAAGCAGATTGATCATTTTTCATTCAGCAATGCATTTATGTTATTTTGTTTTGCCGTTTCCAACATCCCTTTAAGCATCCAATTTTAAATCATCGTGTAAATCAAAGTGATTCTTAAGCACATGGCGTGTGTATTACAAACACGGCATGAATATAATGTAGAATAAGTTATATTCAATATGGAAAAATCGAGGTATGGGTTGATATCAAGGGTCCATGTTCCTCCCCATGCTGCTTTTAACAATAACATCATTCCGACCAATCTATATATTTCCCCAGCTGCCTTTTACGTTTCTATGGTATTGACTACGACGTGTCATAGAAGGACAAATCTGCTGTATAAACTGTTCATATAAATTTGTATTGAAAGTTGCAATTTAGTTGTGAGTCTATGTACAATCTTGCAACACAGTTATAATAGAGAAATACCTTTGTAATTACAAGGGATATTGAAAAGCGGATGCAGCCATGTTTTTAAAAATATTTAATATAAACAAAACAGCTGCGATTAAGAGTATATTGCTTAATTATATATACGTGGATACCATTCTCAATCTTATCTCCTCGGTATTCATATGTTTACTAAAATCATCACAGAACCACCAATACAATTTCTAACACGGAGTTCAGTTTCTTCGTCATTTCGTTAAGATGATGGCACAACAGTAAACCTGCTATTTTTGTCTTGTTCATGACTTATATTCGGTGTGATGAAATTTACAGTTGGACAAAATTCCTTTGTCGTATTTGGAGACGATGACCCTGGAGATGATGATGTTGGAGAGGTAGACCGCGGCGATGTTGACATGGGTGGCGTTGATCTTGGAGAGCGAATATTTCCATTATTTTCTTTGTTTCTAACTCTGACAGATCTTGCTCGATTCCATCTCTGTTTATGTGGTATTGCCGCCATGCTACTAGGTTGAACTACATACCTGAAAAAAATTAATATACAAATATTTACAATTCTAATGATCTGTTTTCGATTTGTACAATTTATTATTAACAACGTACCAAATAAAGTTGGTATACTACTCATAGTTTTTGAAAAATTGATTTTGTTACTTCTTACCATCAAGGTGGACGTCATCGACGACACATGTCGAAAAAAGTACTTTTCGTTTATTGGGCGATGGAAAATATATATCTGTACTCGTTTCAGGATTCTGATACCTTGCATACATACATGCTTAACTGGCGCCATCTAAAATGATGAATATTATTATACATTTGTATATCCTACTTACACGATATCTCCTACCCTCAATTTTCTCTTTGGTGTTGGGTTAAGTATAACGTATGAAATTTCATCATCTTTTGTATCCTCTTCGGCTGAAATATATCATTTTGATATTCATCAAAAACATAGTATAATCATTGAGAAAATCCTACACTTACATGATCACATATGATAAAATATTTTGTTCAGGATTTTCTGCGATCTTTGTGTTCAAGCAAAATGTTTGTGTATATTTTGGTAGTCGCTACTGTTTTTGAGCAGTAACCAGGCAGAATTAGTTTAACTAACCATTTTGTTCACTATATACAATGTCTAATCGCACATCACCCGTCCGAATTCAGTTTTTGCCCTAAAAAGTAACTTTCATTTTAAAACATTAACATATCGTTATTTGAATGTTGTGTATATTGAGCAATGCATGTTGTAACAACACATTCCTCATTTTTAAGAAGAGATTTCAAATAACATTGGCATTTTTCATTCCTCCATACAGAGGTTCAAAGGCTATCATTTACTCACGATGGTAACCAACGTGCAATCAACATATCGACATTTTCGATATTTTTCTTATAATAAAAACTAATCCTAAACTTGTTTTCTGTCACTGTCTATAGTTTTACTTCAACTTTAAAAATCTGTGGGTTTTTTTTTTTTGCATTTGAAGAGGCGGCCATCTCGAAATCTGGTGACCATCTTAGATTTTCAGCTGGATAACTTACTTTTCTTAAAAAGTACATCCTGAACATCATTTGTGCCAAATTTGGTGCTTGTATCATAAAATGAAAGATTCTTATGGAATATTGTCTTAAGCTGCCCCACTAATATGCCTAGCAACAACGGTCTATTGTGTTCTGTATGAAGTTAAGTGACCGAAGTGAAGAGCGGACTCACTAGCCCATATTTTTATCCCTAAAGCTTACATGACGTGATGGATAATCCGAATTGACCAAGGCTGTCAAATTATTTCCAATTTTAAATTCAATTCCATACAATCTGGAACCAACAGGGTTTAATACAAATATAAGGTCTGCGTTTTGGCCATACTTGTTGGCTTGGTTCAAGCTATCAATGCAAACAAAAAAAATACAATATCACATTAACATCTATCAGCATACTCTGCTTTGGTTAATTGCAATTTACTTCGCATGGTACATTAAACAATGAAAGCTTCATCATCGGGTACTACGTTGTTCGCTAACTTTTTAACCTCTCACTACATTGTACCAACATACACATAAATCTGTTACATAACAATACTGTTAGTCTGTAACATCTAATACACATAGTCAACTATAGTTTAAACACTTTATATCTATAAATGATAAACAATTACATACTAAATTAATTACACTTATTATAATGAACCAATATATGCTATATATATTATCTCCCTTTAAAGGCCTGACAACCTGCATAGGGTTACAGTGGACACCCTTGAAATACCATATTTAAGTACAACAGTTTGAATACAACCATTAAACGTGAATAGTTTCTTGGCGCTTTTATGTAAACTTGTGCATAGTGACCTAGTTAATCAATCCCTCCAAACAATGCACATTTAAATATGGTTCTGAATATTCAAGTTTCCTTTCATCGAAATTAAAAGATTTAGGAGAGCTGTCCAGACAATACAAATACACATAAACAGGGGGATGCCTCTATACCCATCAATATTGCTGCATGGTATTTAGGGGATAGTATGCTTATTTTGATGCATGTACTGGAGCTTGGATCCTGAAATTAAGTTTTTACATGAGATGAAGTCTACTGATAAAATTTTCATTTTCCACTTTCCGGTATATGTATAAAACAGGCGTACTATCCCCAGTCGGAATTAATTAATCTAAAGACAATGTAATCATTGATCGTAATATCAACAAAAGCCAACGAAACGGTCCCTCACATGTTCAAATCGCTCCCTTCAATTACTGATGACATAGAAATTCCACCCACAAACAAGTCAAATTAGTCAATGAACTTGGATCAGGAGATGTAGATCGAGGCATTTGAAAAGACACGAGATGTTTCTCTGCGTGGATTATTCGTATTTATCGTTGTTAAAATTGATTCCTAATGTAAATATTCGATATTCGTCATGTCTATAACTGAATGACAAAAACGAGGAATGTTTCGAAAAGTGTCGAGATACTTTTTTCCGAAGATGTCAGCAAGTTTCTTTTGAATGGATATTGAGATATAAGTATCATTCTGTATAGAATTATCCAGTAAAGGTAAGAGACAATATGACGTATGATTGATTGGGATATTACAATATCCTCGGATTCCTTGTATAGAGAATATTCCTGTACCAGCCGTATTAATCGTTATTCTAGCACTACCGAAAACCTAATTTGAAGCAGAGAAGAATTGGAAGACGCTATCATCATCGTACTCTCATTTCCAAGACATAATGGAACATGTTGTTATCGTGATTTCTCCAGTGTTGAGGTCGATCATCTGCCTCAACAGGAAAGATGATCGCCATATTTAGGCTAGTATCAGGACAACAACATGACCATTCCTGAGTATATTTGAGATTAGTAATTGAATAGTCCAACGAATAGGTGCGCTGCATAAAAAATTGTAACTAAAAAATATTCCTTTTCTTTGTACGATTAGAAGCTAGATGTGTTTGATGTCTGTGGGAGTCTATTGATGTATTCCTTTTTCTCTTTGATAACGTGACATTAATTACTTGAACTAACTAAGGTTTGCATGGCGAGTGGCGCCGAAGCAGAATACTCTTACTCTTCCGAAACGCCTGGTTTTATTCTCATTGTACGACAAATTTTGCCGTGTATGAACAAAAAGGGGCACATTTAGTTCCCATAGGTATGCCAAAGGCTTGTTGGAAGATCTAACAATCGACGAAGATGTTGTCAATCAGAACCTCGACCAAGTAAATTCAACACAATCATTATCCAAACTCAAATTAAAATAAACTAAGGCAAACTATTATAGATTTACACGGAGACTCCTGCAAAAGTACAAGTATTCCAAACCAAAATTGCATATAATTTTCCGACTCTCGTCAACTCATTCACGAAAATTGCAGCGGCCTGAACATCGTTTGCATTCTTTGCATGAATACTTAACGAGTAAAAGTTCAGGGAGCAACATCAACATACACATCGCCTTAAACTAAGACCTAATACTACTGCACTGCCTTTAATGAAGAATAAGTTATCTTTTTCGTACAACTCAATCCAAAGGTTCTTGTATTAAATAAATGATGTTGTTAACATCAATTACCACGAAGCGAACTCGTTTTATAATCGATCATTATACAGTACTAGTACATCAAATGAAATACCGTAATCATCAGCATCCATTCCAAGACTTTGTAACCGATTCCTAACGAGATCGCTCATATCGCTGTTCTGCATGTGATTGCCCATGAAAGGCCCCTTCGGAAGAGATGGGCGGTTGTGTGCTTCCATAAGTCCATTCTTTTTACCATCTTCATTGTTATTGACTGTTCTCTGATTATAACAATAAATCTATGTGAGACAGGTCTACCACGAAACTTTGATAAGGCTGATGAGAATCAGAATGTGGATATCATTTTACAGAAGGTTATTGTTATTGCTATGTTATATAGGTCACATGTATATGTTATATAGGTCACATGCATATGTTATATAGGTACATGTATATGTTATATAGGGTACATGTATATGTTATATAGGTCACATGTATATGTTATATAGGTACATGTATATGTTATATAGGTCACATGTATACGTTATCAAGGTCACATTGTTATATAGGTCACATGTATATGTTATAAAGGTCACATTGTTATATAGGTCACATGTATACGTTATAAAGGTCACATTGTTATATAGGTCACATGTATACGTTATAAAGGTAATGTGTATATGCTATATCAGTGACTTGTTATATATGTTATATTAGCTGGTTTCACGTTAAAATTGATTAAGTGAATTGTGTTATGACATTGACGCAAGAATTCCCAGGTTATCTATCCCTGTTTTTTCATTAATTATTGCCTTCGTGTCTTCGGTTTGGTATCGCTACAAAACTTCGGCAATTTATTTTATACAATATAGTAAACACATCGAACAAACCGGACCTATTTAACAATGAAAGAGATGTCTTACGTCTTCGGCTGTATCCAATAAAGATCTCTCGGTTCTGTAAATAGCAATAGGCACTTCACCCGTTGTGGTAGCCATCCCTTGGTATAGTTCTTCAAATGTCCGGTAACGCACAAGAGTCATATTTTTAACACGAATCTATAAAACAAATACACCAATATTTCGTTTAAAACAGGTCGGAAAACTAGATTTCCTTTTTCCTTTAAAATTAGAAAGACAGTTTTATGCACGAGTACCCTTTCATATTCTCAATCCATTCTTCCGTCCATTAATATCATTTCCATCATACAATTGTCACCAAGTTTGAACTATTTCCATATTAAATAAACAACCAATATTATGTAATTTCCTCCCCCCTCCCCTCACACACACTCACACACACACACCTCATGGTCCAAAGTGCGAGATGCGACACCCTGATTCTACCATTCTTGGTTATTGAAAAGATTTTTGAAATTCTGATAAAAGTTTACGACGCATGACGCCGGACAAAAGGCGATGGAAATAGGTCATATCGAGACTTCCTTCCAGGTTACCTAATACCAACAAAACCGACAGCATTGTAAGTTCTAGCCTTGAAAGCAGGTCACTGGGATTCGAAAAAAATATCTTAACAGCAAAACATCTTTTCACGTTTTTATGTGGAAATAAAAATATACTCTTCATAAGTGACTGTACTATTGGCATACATTACTTACACTTGATAGGTGACCAGAATTTTCCTCAGCATCTATCCCAAGTAATAGCCGTACAAAGGTGATGAGGTAGCCTTTAACGAACGTCTGCAAGACAAACAAAATCTTACAATCCGATTTTCAAATGGCACTATTCCCTTTTTACATACTATCGGTTTACAGTGTTCCTTATAGAAATTCTGCCCTCATTTCATCGATTTTGAAACAAAACGCCAATTGGACAATAGTTATTTGACGACAAACCTGATATAGAAGACTGTCCAGCATACTGGCGCTAAAGACCTGTCCTGCAGCAAACGGAAGTCGGAATATGTGAGATAAAGTCGAACTCATCCTTTCCTTTAGTTTCTGAAAATATGTTGATACAGAGTTTAACATTTTTTTCCCAATTAGTTGTTCATATACTGCACGTGTTCAAACTCAAAATTAGCAACCCTTCCTCTGAAAATGATGCTTTATTGCTATAGTATAGCACGACTCAATTAATCCATTTGGTGTTAAATCAATAATTTACCATTAAAAAGCAGGAACTTACAATATACAATACATCGTCTTTCTATCTAAAAGTTGACAGCTCAATATTCACCATGGCTAATATTAGACACTGACAAAAGCACAATATCTGTTAGATTCTAAAACAAAGCAAGGAATTATTAAATTGCATATCTTACCCTTTCCAGTTTAGACACCTGACGCGTATACTCATTGTTTGCCTGGAATTGCATGAACCGGATATTGGACGCCTGACTAAGTTCGGTTATGATGTTGGTGTTTGGGAAAAGTCTACAAAATGATAGGAGCAATCACCAATTAATAGACATAGGAGACGTCAAAATAACCACGTCGACAATTTAGGTAAGAATATAATAAGTGACACAACTCACTTAAGAATGGTTTGTACTGCAACCACGGATTCTGAGTCCACCATCGTTTTCTCCATTTCTTTTGATTTAGACTCGTGGTTGACGATAACTAGATGACTAACTTTGTGGATTCCGGCTAAGATCAGATCATCTATACTGTGAAAATGAAATCAGACGAAAAAATGGACAATGAATTTATTTCATATCTTAAGGCAATACTCATCAACTACTTGTGTAGAAGGAATGGTTTCATGAAGTTGTCGCTAGTTAGTAATTAGAGGATTGTTGTCATGACAAAAGAAATCTTACAAATTGATTTTCTCGTGATTATTTGAATCTTGTCATTTTGACCAATCAGAATAACATTTTCTCTTCACTGCATTCAAATTTGTCGATTTTCTCTTCCGGGTAAAATGAAATGAGAATGCTTTTCAACTATCTACAACAGTTAATGATACATCGGAATATATAGCAACAAACAAAACAATAGAAATCTTCTCCTTTATACATTAACTTATTCGTCATTGTAGGCGAATACTCATTTGACACAGTCTGTTAGATTATACCAACATTTTAGATTTTTCCTAAATTACTTGTGGCAGGATCGATTAAACTCACTCTGTATATATTGATGACATCGATAATTGTTTTGTTGCTTTCAAACTTGAAAAAACTAAATTAGAAACACAAACCTTGTAATTTTCCCTTGAATCCAGTAAACTAAAGGAAAATGTCCTATTGTTTCTAAAAATAAGTTCGTCGGTCTGTATATAAAAGAAACAAACTTCAGATTAATACTCTGAAAATTGAATGTCACTTTCCCTTCTATATTCCATGCATTTTCTTCGCTACGTAACAATGTTGATAAGGTTTCTTCAAACACACAATTTAACGCAAGCAAGAATTAGATTTACATTCAAATAAACTTATTCTGTGTTTGTTTACAGTAAAAATATCATGATCGATCGACAAAACGTATAGGAATAATGGTTGTCTGGAAGCAACGCTCTAGAAATTCTACACATATGATGTGTATTGACTAAACAAACGAAATTCAGAGCATACCGAGCGATCACGGTTCGTAGCGGTCGCAGGTTTTGATTTAATAAGACATTGAATTGCAATGATCTCGATAAAAATAAATTATGAACTATCACAATCTAGTGATATAGTTAAAAACAAATATTGCCACAAATTTGAGTTGAAATCAAAGAAGAAAACATAAATATCAGTGTCATACAATTGATTTGATTTCTATACGTATAGTTGGCGAGATGGCACAAATCCTGGTGACTACAACAGTAAACATTTATAGTTTTATCACGGTATACTGTTACATGTAGTGATGTCTGAAATGAAAAAAGGAAATACCCCAAAATTTACATTTATACTGTATAAATATGTGTAAATAATTATGTATTAACTAACCTTTCATTTAACAGCAAAATAATCGGACTGAGCGAATTCATACTGATGAAATTTGACCTTAGCGGGACGATGAAGTTGTGAATCCCCACGCAGGCATGCTCCGCCGCCAAAATAATCAACTGATTAGTCCATCTATGGTCTCGTGCATTCTTGTATGTACAGTGTTCACAGTCCTGCATTGGCATAAGTGTATAGATATTTACAGATGGTACGCCAATCAATATCAGAAGAGGTTCAAGTTTTTGGCATGTGCTATACTCTATACAACTATATGTAAAAGATAAGTGATCTAGTGACGCATTTTGTAAATAGACGTCTTAGGTTCGATTCCCGAACGGACATGAAAAGGTTTGTGGTGACCACAGTAAGACCCCTTGCCACCAGGGCCGACAAGCGTGATTAACGAAGTGTAGTGTTCCAGTCACAATCCAATTAAATACATCACGTAGGACTACACATACATATCTTAACATTATTTATTTTACAACAATTGTGAAACCATTTATTTCAATTTTTCGAATAATCTTTCTGGCCCGGATGTAAACATCATATTGAATTTAAATTTCAAATCACTGTTACACCTCACACTTAACCACACAAGTCATGTTTTAAAACTGCATGTACATCTAAGTATCTTTAACTTTGACCCAACATTACACCATATTTTACTCTTGAGCATGTTTGTCCGGACAATGTTTTTCAAAAAAATGATCGTAGATAAAAATGTATTATTTGATACAAAGTACATAATTATACAAATAAAATGAACATCTGTTACCAGAATGGGGCACTTTTGTTAGATATGAAATTAAACATACCGTTCCCCATTCTAAACAGCATACTGGACGGGGTGACTTCATCACGTGACATAATGTCTTCTGTTTACTGGCATAGAGAGTTGGAGGAGGTGGCCCAGTCGTGATACTGAAACACACAAGTTATCACTGCTGTAATGGTCCCGCGGGTTACCACTGATGGTATTCAAACTGCTTCTAATGTCTACCTCCATAACAACGATCATTCAATTAGTTATTTGAATTTCTACAGCCTTATATTGTAAAGTATTTGGTTTGTAGTCGACAAACACTGAAAATAATCTACTCGCTAAATTCTGGTAACAATGAAAACATTATACTCGCTTAATTCTGGTAAACATTGAAAATATTCTACTCGTTTAATTCTGGTAAACACTGAAAATATTCTACTCGTTTAATTCTGGTAAACATTGAAAATATTCTACTCGTTTAATTCTGGTAAACATTGAAAATATTCTACTCGTTTAATTCTGGTAAACACTGAAAATATTCTACTCGCTTAATTCTGGTAAACACTGAAAATATTCTACTCGCTTAATTCTGGTAAACACTGAAAATATTCTACTCGCTTAATTCTGGTAAACACTGAAAATATTCTACTCGCTGAGTCGTATTTAACAATCTATTTCAGCAGCTTTTAAGAAATTCTACCGAGGATGCTATGCTATTCAAGACAAAACCATTTGAAATACTGAATTCAAGCAATACAGCGTGGAACAATGCCATTACTCGTGAAAATGTCCCCAGTATTTCAACATGTAGTGGTAACACAGCTCCCGAGGCCAAGCATTGAGTTGATTTGTTTATCATTTTCTACTAGATTAAATAGCATGTATTCCAGTTACGAGATATGCATACAGTTTTGTTGTTACTATGATGTTCTTACTGAATCTGAAGACGTGAAAAAGCTAGTTAGCCGTTGATTCTGTTTTATGCAATTACAGTTAATAAATTACTTTTTTTTACTGTTTTGGATGTATATAAAATGGTAATTTAAAGGAAACGGTTATTTACCATTGGTAACATCTAATGACACCACGTGTCACGTTTTAATCCATTTGAAAAAAATAATGAAATTTATTGCGTACAGGTTAGAGACATATTTTCGACCAAGTTGTATTTTCTTAAGTTGAACTTTGAACATTTACGTCCCTGTCATTACTGACGAGATTCAGAAGGATGGAGCTATAGCACGAGATTCAGAAGGATGGAGCTATAGTATGATAATACATATATATTGTTTAGCAACGCTGAATCTAATGATTAATGTATAATGGAAGGTGATATTCACTTACATACGTTTTGTATAATAGTATTGGTGAGTACTGAGCTTTTATTCACAATCATTCACAGGCTTGTCACCCGTTTTACTTGTTCAAGATTCCGCTGTCAACACCTAGGGTTTGACAGATAGCGCGTGCACCGGAAGTGAACCGGAACTACTTCTACACACGTCGTCTGCTACATGTATGTGAACAAATGTACATGTACGAATTATCACCGAAGCTAAGGCTCTCTGAGAAAAAGTATGCTGGGAGAAAAAATATCATCCCCTACCTTGAGGGTGTGACAGAGAAATCGCCGACCCTCGGGGTGATATTCTTGGTTGTCTAACCCACGGCATAGCCTCGGGTTAGACAACCAAGAATATCACCCCTCGCGTTAGAGATTTCTCCGTCACACCCTCGTGGTAGGGGAAGATTCTATTAATCACAACAAAGAACAAAGTTACCAGATAGACAGCCCGTTGATTCACAGACGTAGTAACGTATGTAGATATATGTCAGGGATTAGATACATATCAAAGCCTTAAGAAATCAAAAACAGTATAAGCAGAAGTAACCTTTCTTGTCCCATATCTTCATACAGCTGTAAGACCTTTGGTACTGCTGGATCAGTCTGACCGTGGGTGTCCACCTCAGTATCTACTCCATTTTCGTCTAGGTCACTTTCCGATGATCGGGTTTCTGGCGGTTTTGTACGCATGCGTCGTGCTATCTCTAGTCCCCACTGACACGTAATAGTATTGTTGAAGACACTCTCTTCCTGTTCGTCCTGTGGTGAACTAAGGTCCTGTTGAAGCAATTTTTCCAAAAGTTCCGATATCTGATCTGAAAATCACAATGATTAACAACCTGTACAATAACATACTTTTCTCGTGTGAGATTTCCATTTATCTATGTAGTAATGAAAATGTCGTCACCTTTGACCTCTAAACGAAGGCTTACTTTTGCAAGATCATCATCTTCGTAGCAATATCACTATAATATCACAATAATCATTGTTATCGATCACATTATAGCAGAAACGCGTTTTGTTGATCGACCGAAATACTAATTAACCGGGATTGTAGCTAAAACAGTAATTTCACAATTTCAGTCTAAAATTTTGTATAAAGGACGGCATGCATCTGATAATTATGTATAACCATTGTTACAAGTCACTTAGAACATACCTAAATTTTTGTTGGGCTCATTTCCCGTTTGTTTCTGATCAGTTTTCACTTCTGAACATATTTTAGCATATTCTTCCTTAAACTCCGCAATATAGAAACAGTAGTCCGAATCCTTTAGCTTGTAATCTGCTCCGGGGTTCAATTGTAAACGTGGATCTGGTTTGGTAATGTCTAACACGGCCACTAAACAAACACCAAACCTGCAATACAAAATAATAAAAATAACAATACTCCTCTCGATTAAACTCAGAAAACACCTTCATAAATATCTTGTCACGACCTCAGCAATTCAAATCCACAGAGGACGACGAACACTCTACCAGTTATTACCGTCAGTAATCCTAATCCACATAGGACGACGAACACTCTACCAGTTATTACCGTCAGTAATTCTAATCCACAGAGGACGACGAACACTCTACCAGTTATTACCGTCAGTAATTCTAATCCAAAGAGGACGACGAACACTCTACCAGTAATTACCGTCAGTAATTCTAATCCACAGAGGACGACGAACACTCTACCAGTAATTACCGTCAGTAATCCTAATCCACAGAGGACGACGAACACTCTACCAGTTATTACCGTCAGTAATCCTAATCCACAGAGGAGGACGAACACTCTACCAGTAATTACCGTCAGTAATTCTAATCCACAGAGGACGACGAACACTCTACCAGTTATTACCGTCAGTAATCCTAATCCAAAGAGGACGACGAACACTCTACCAGTAATTACCGTCAGTAATTCTAATCCACAGAGGACGACGAACACTCTACCAGTTATTACCGTCAGTAATCCTAATCCAAAGAGGACGACGAACACTCTACCAGTTATTACCGTCAGTAATCCTAATCCACAGAGGAGGACGAACACTCTACCAGTAATTACCGTCAGTAATTCTAATCCACAGAGGACGACGAACACTCTACCAGTAATTACCGTCAGTAATCCTAATCCACAGAGGAGGACGAACACTCTACCAGTAATTACCGTCAGTAATTCTAATCCATAGAGGACGACGAACACTCTACCAGTAATTACCGTCAGTAATTCTAATCCACAGAGGACGACGAACACTCTACCAGTAATTACCGTCAGTAATCCTAATCCACAGAGGAGGACGAACACTCTACCAGTTATTACCGTCAATTATCCTAATCCACAGAGGACGACGAACACTCTACCAGTTATTACCGTCAGTAATCCTAATCCACAGAGGAGGACTAACACTCTACCAGTTATTACCATCAGTAATTCTAATCCACATAGGACGACGATTACTCTACCAGTTATTACCGTCAGTTATCCTAATCCACAGAGGACGACGAAAACTCTACCAGTTATTACCGTCAGTAATCCTAATCCACAGAGGAGGACGAACACTCTACCAGTTATTACCGTCAGTAATTCTAATCCACAGAGGAGGACGAACACTCTACCAGTTATTACCGTCAGTGATACTAATCCACAAAGGACCTCAAACACACTCTACCAGTTATTACCGTCAGTAATACTAATCCACAGAGGACGACGAACACTCTACCAGTTATTACCGTCAGTAATCCTAATCCACAGAGGACGACGAACACTCTACCAGTAATTACCGTCAGTAATCCTAATCCACAGAGGATGACGAACAATCTACCAGTTATTACCGTCAGTAATCCTAATCCACATAGGACGACGAACACTACCAGTAATTACCGTCAGTAATCCTAATCCACAGAGGAGGACGAACACTCTACCAGTAATTACCGTCAGTAATCCTAATCCACAGAGGATGACGAACAATCTACCAGTTATTACCGTCAGTAATCCTAATCCACAGAGGACGACGAACACTCTACCAGTAATTACCGTCAGTAATCCTAATCCACATAGGACGACGAACACTACCAGTTATTACCGTCAGTGATACTAATCCACAGAGGACGACGAACACTCTACCAGTTATTACCGTCAGTAATCCTAATCCACAGAGGACGAATGATATTCTCTCATCTTCTAACAATCGATACATAATTCACCAATGACCACGTTATAATATGGGGTTACCTTTTGTGCAATGTGAATTAAACTACAATCAATGTTATTTGGCATTGTCAGTAATTGTAATCCCATATTTACCACCATTCCTGTTCATACAGGTGTGTATTATACTTAAATAAAACGATGTGCTTAGGAGAGAGATATCCGTTCGATATCGACAGAATACTGAAATATGTGTATTCATAATTATATATTCACCGCTTGTGTGCATTTGCTGACGCATAGGTGAAACTCTTTCCGCTATAACTCCTAAAGAACATGCTTTTACACAATTGTATGTGATAAACAGCATTTCTGGAGTGGCGGCCATACACCTGCTGCCATGGTTCCTGTCCGATATGTCCCGCCCTGAAATGAGAAGTATTTGGATACATGTAATTGTGAATTTCTAAAATTGTGTAAAATACGCACAGATGATTAGTACAGTTTACTACTACTACTACTACTACTACTACTACTACTACTACTACCACTACTACTACTACTACTACTACTACTACTACTACTATCTACTACTACTACTACTACTACACTATTCACCAATGACCACGTTACTAATATTACTACTGAATTAAACTACAATCAATGTTATTTGGCATTGTCAGTAATACTACTCCTACTATATTTACCTACCATTCCTGTTCATACAGGTGTGTATTATACTTAAATAAAACGATGTGCTTAGGAGAGACTACTACCTACTACTATATACTACTACTACTACTAAATATGTGTATTCATAATTATATATTCACTACTACTTGTGTGCATTTACTACTACTACTACTAGGTGAAACTACTTACTACTATAACTCCTAAAGAACATACTTTTACTACAATTACTACTACTACTAAACAGCATTTCTACTACTACTACTACCACCACCACCACTGCCTACTACTACTACTACTACTGAAATGAGAAGTATTTGGATACACTGTAATTGTGAATTTCTAAAATTGTGTAAACTACTACACAGATACTACTACAGTTTACTACTACTACTACTACTACTACTACTACTACTACTACTACTACTACTACTACTACTACTACCACTACTACTACTACCACCACCACTACTACTACTACTACTACTACTACTACTACTACTACTACTACTACTACTACTACCACTACTACTACTACTACCACTACTACTACTACTACTACTACTACTACTACTACTACTACTACTACTACTACTACTACTACTACTACTACTACTACTACTACTACTACTACTACTACTACTACTACTACTACTACTACTACTACTACTACTACTACTACTACTACTACTACTACTACTACTACTACTACTACTACTACTACTACTACTACTACTACTACTACTACTACTACTACTACTACTACTACTACTACTACTACTACTACTACTACTACTACTACTACTACTACTACTACTACTACTACTACTACTACTACTACTACTACTACTACTACTACTACTACTACTACTACTACTACTACTACTACTACTACTACTACTACTACCACTACTACTACTACTACTACTACTACTACTACTACTACTACTACTACTACTACTACTACTACTACTACTACTACTACTACTACTACTACTACTACTACTACTACTACTACTACTACTACTACTACTACTACTACTACTACTACTACTACTACTACTACTACTACTACTACTACTACTACTACTACTACTACTACTACTACTACTACTACTACTACTACTACTACTACTACTACTACTACTACTACTACTACTACTACTACTACTACTACTACTACTACTACCACTACTACTACTACTACTACTACTACTAATACTACTACTACTACTACTACTACTACTACTACTACTACTACTACTACTACTACTACTACTACTACTACTACTACTACTACTACTACTACTACTACTGTACTACTACTACTACTACTACTACTACTACTACTACCACTACTACTACTAATACCACTACTACTAATACTACTACTACTACTACTACTACTACTACTATTACTAATACTAATTATAATAAAAAAGAGTTAAATACAATAGAGCCAAAGTATGACTTAAACTGCGTCATTCAGTTGTTTCGTCGCTCGATGATAAGAGTTATCAGAGAAATATCAAATGGAACAGAGCACATCTAGCCCCGATGATCTAAACGGAACCATGTTGACGTCATGATTGAGTTTGCTGTTAATGGTAGCATTTTCATGATCAACGCAAACGTGGGAATAACATGACATACGTACTGGTAAAAAGGGGACTTAACGATCTGAAGTGGGACCCTAAGTCGTCCACATGATCTGGAGTGGGACCCTCAAGTCGTCTACATGATCTGGAGTATGACCCTCAAGTCGTCTACATGATCTGGGATATGACCTTAAAGTCGTCTACATGATCTGGGGTAGGACCCTCAAGTTGTCTACATGATCTGGGGTTTGACCCTCAAGTCGTCTACATGATCTGGGGTAGGACCCTCAAGTCGTCGACATGATCTGGGGTAGGAACCTCAAGTCGTCTACATGATCTGGGGTTTGACCCTCAAGTCGTCCACATGATCTGGAGTGGGACCCTCAGTCGTCTACATGATCTGGGGTAGGACCCTCAAGTCGTCTACATGATCTGGGATATGACCTTAAAGTCGTCTACATGATCTGGGGTAGGACCCTCAAGTTGTCTACATGATCTGGGGTTTGACCCTCAAGTCGTCTACATGATCTGGGGTAGGACCCTCAAGTCGTCTACATGATCTGGGGTAGGACCCTCAAGTCGTCTACATGATCTGGGGTTTGACCCTCAAGTCGTCTACATGATCTGGGGTAGGACCCTCAAGTCGTCTACATGATCTTGGGTTTGACCCTCAAGTCGTCTACATGATCTGCGGTTTGACCCTCAAGTCGTCTACATGATCTGGATTATGACCCTCAAGTCGTCCACATGATCTGGGGTAGAACCCTCAAGTCGTCTACATGATCTGGGGTATGACCCTCAAGTCGTCCACATGATCTGGGGTAGGACCCTCAGATCGTCTACGTGATCTGGGTTAGGACCCTCAGATCGTCTACATGATATGAGGTTTGACACTCAAGTCGTCTACATGATCTGTTCACTATAATACCCAACACCCTCTGTGTGCCAAGAACTAATGTCCCTTTTTTCAACACGAGGATTTCATATATTTCGTCTTCTTTAGACATTGTTGAAAACATGTACTAACTCAATATATCATAGGCATTGTCAAAACTATTACACCTAACTATCAAATTGTTCCAAAATCAAATTAAAATTTACATTTTAAGTTTGAATTACTGTAAATGTAGAATATGTCAATTTAGAAATATACAATCCTTAACAAAGTTCTACCATAAAATGTCATTGTATTTACAGAAACATCTGCTGACCAGCAACTTACTCTCCCGTGGTGGTGTGAAGAAGCAGAGTGACCAGGGTTGACATACCAGGATATAGACAATTATTGGCCAAGAGAGCATACTTAAATTCGTCCTCACAAACCACATGTTCTGAAATATGAACGTTCTATTAAGGTTCCATAACGAGAGAGAGAAAACAAAAACAAAAACAAACACAAAAAACAAAAAAACAAAAACAAAAACAAAAACCAAAAACAAAAAAAACAAAAAAAAAAAAAAGCGAACAAAAGCAAACGTGCATTGTCGATATGCATTTTGTGTCCTACGTCATACTTATTTTTGATTTCAAGGAATTGTCATGGTTTATTCACGATGAAGTAATTAATTCGAAATCAAGATGGCAGACAGTGAATAAGTCGACATTAGAGTATTCCATTGTAAAGAACATCAAATCGTTACATGTAGAAAGGGAAACAACTCTCATCATATTAAACAAAACATTGTTATATGCGATATATTCTAATCGCCGAGTAACTTAATTACTATTTCTATCTAATGACAATTTTACCATCCTGAAATAGTAAACGTTCTTACATTAGGAAAAAATCGAAAATAAACACATTGTGCAATGGAATACCACAGTTTTGCTATTGGTAACATCCCCAGTACTTATTTTCCCGAATTTCGGTGCTATATTTTGTGTAGAATCATAAGTTGATAATATCATTATGTGTTTTCCATTTAGATTGTAGTAAGAAGAACCACTTCGTCTTGTATGAAATATCTTTCATACTACGAAGTTCTTGCATAGGAATTTCTGTTTACCCAGTTACGGAATAAACCGAGTATTTCAGGAGAAACATGCATTTCGCGGATATGACAGAAGTATATCAAAGATTTACAAGATATGGTAGATTCCAGAGAGAGATTTATACATTTGTATAAGGAAACTTCAAAGAAGGCGATATTATTCGCTCGGAATGATACAAGTATCGAATATAATTGTTGAATTACATTTATAAAGAATATTAAACCAGTAAGCTGGGAAATCCTAAACTTATCACAATGATTCCAAATGGAAGGGACAAACAGATCAATAGATAACATTTTAGGGACAGGACGGACGGACTGATAGGGAACACTAAAAGGAACAGGGCGGACGGACTGATAAAAATGCTTTAGTGACAGAACGGATAGATAAACGGGGAACAATTTAGGAACAGGACAGACAGATCAATGGGTAACACTATAGGGACAAAACGGACAGACTAATAGGGAACACTATGGGTACCGCACGGACAGACTAATCGGGAACACGAAAGGAACAGAATGGACAGATCAATAGGTAACACTATAGGAACAAGACGGACAGACTAATAGGGAACACTATGGGTATCGCACGGACAGACTAATCGGGAACACGAAAGGAACAGAATGGACAGATCAATGGGTAACACTATAGGGACAAGACGGACAGACTGATGGAGAACACTAAAGGGACAGGACGGACAGATCTATGGGGAACATTATAGGGACTAGACGGATAGACTAATAGGGAACACGAAAGGGACAGGACGGACATATCTATGGGGAACACTGTAGGGACTAGACGGACAGACTAATAGGGAACACGAAAGGGACAGGACGGACACATCTATGGGGAACACGAAAGGGACTAGACGGACAGACAAATAGAAAACACTATAAGGACAGGACGGACACATCTACGGTAAACTTACAGTTACAGGACGGACAGAGGAATGGGTTAACACTATAGCAACAGCACGGATTGACTTATTGGGAACACTATAGGGACAATATTGACAGATTTACGGGAAACATAATACGGACAGGATGGAGACATCTATGGAGAACATTATAGGGACAGGACGGACATATCTATTGGGAACACATTAGGGACAGGAGGGACAGATTTATTTGGAACGCCTTAAGGGCCAGAAGAACTGATTGCTGGTAAAACTATAGGGACAGGACGGACAGATTTATGGGGAACGCCTTAAGGACAGGACGAACAGACTGATGGCAATACTATGGGGATAGGACGGGCAGATTTATGAATAACGATATAGAGACATGATGGATTGGTTTACTGATAACACTACAGGGACAAAATAGACAGACTTGCCATTATATACCTCCCATAAAATAACAGGGACATAAAAACAAATGAAAAATTCCGCAAAAACAAGTTTGTATTATCTTGTATGGGTCATTTTATTTTGTCAGTAGCAAATCTTCAACCCAAAACGTTGAACACAATTTACTGCCTTTAGGAAAACCTATGACATATCGTGCAATCCAATCGGTTTGTTTAACTGTACCTCTCGGTAAACCTATGACCGATCAGTATATCTCAGCGAAGAAATACGGTAAACGGAAACTTGGAAATCTGCATGTGCAAAATAAAACTTTAATTATAAAAAAAAAAACAAAAAACGAGGAGAGGACATATTATTGATATACATTGTATTAAGTTTGTCGGTTTGTAAAGAAGAAACGAAGGAAGTATCAAAACCAGACGAATACTTAAATGATTGGTATATACAAACGCATAGCATGAATAAGAGGGCAAAACAAATTTCGTTCATAAACAAATATTTTTCGTTTCTATCCACGAAAAAAATGTTTAGTGGGATGTTTCTTCCTTTAACGCTTCTTGGAAATACTCATTTAAACAGGACTCTTTAGAAATTGATTTATAACCTTAGCTTATCATAATTTGATCTTTTGGTTGGCCAAGGGAAAATGCCAAGGACAAAAATGAAAAAGGTTTGCTGGAAGTCGACATCACACCATATTACTCACGCTGTAATCGACTCTCGTCTGAATAAAAAAACATCACAACAAAGTAAAATACATTCCCTCCACAACAAGGGCTAAGAGCTATTTAGTCGATGTGTCTGAAGTCGTATAAGGAACAATGACCATATTAGTGGTGCGTCTATCATTATGTCGGTAGTGCCTCTATCATTATGTCGGTGATATGTTCGTCATTATATCGGTGGTGCCTTTATCATTATGTCGGTGATGTGTCTGTCATTATATCGGTGGTGCCTCTATCATTATGTCGGTGATGTGTTTGTCGTTATATCGGTGATGTGTCTATCATTATGTCGGGGTTTGTCTATCATTATGTCGGGGTATGTCTATCATTATGTCGGGGTATGTCTATCATTATGTCGGTAGTAGGCCTGACATTATGTCGGTGGTGTGTCTATCATTATGTCGGTAGTGTGTCTGTCATTATGTCGGTAGTGCCTCTATCATTATGTCGGTGATGTGTCTGTCGTTATATCTGTGGTGCCTCTATCATTATGTAGGTGGTATGTCTATCATTATGTCGGTAGTAGGCCTGACATTATGTCGGTAGTGTGTCTGTCATTATGTCGGTAGTGTGCCTATCATTATGTCGGTAGTGTGTCTGTCATTATGTCGGTAGTGTCGGTGGTGTGTCTATCATTATGTCGGTAGTGCGTCTGTCATTATGACGGTAGTGTGTGTGTCATTATTTCGGTAGTGTGTCTATCATTATGTCGATGGTGTGTCTATCATTATGTCGGTAGTGTGTCTATCATTATGTCGATGGTGTGTCTATCATTATGTCGGTAGTGTGTCTATCATTATGTCGATGGTGTGTCTATCATTATGTCGGGGTATGTCTATCATTATGTCGGGGTATGTCTATCATTATGTCGGTAGTAGGCCTGACATTATGTCGGTGATGTGTTTGTAATTTGGTCGGTTGCATGTCTGTCATAATGTTAGTGGTGTGTCTGCCGTTATATCGGTGGTATGTCTGTCATTATGTCGGTGGTATGTCTGTCATTATGTCGGTAGTGTGTCTATCATTATGTCGGTAGTAGGCCTGATATTGTGTCGGTGTGTGTATCTGTCATTATGTCGGGGTATGTCTATCATTATGTCGGTAGTGTGTCTGTCTTTATGTCGGTAGTGTGTCTATCATTATGTCGGTAGTGTGTCTATCATTATGTCGGTGGCATGTCTATCATTATGTCGGTGGCATGTCTATCATTATGTCGGTAGTGTGTCTGTCTTTATGTCGGTAGTGTGTCTATCATTATGTCGGTAGTGTGTCTGTCTTTATGTCGGTAGTGTGTTTATCATTATGTCGGTAGTGTGTCTATCATTTTGTCGGTGGTATGTCTGTCATTATGTCGGTTTCATATCTGTCATAATGTTAGTGGTGTGTCTGCCGTTATATCGGTGGTATGTCTGTCATTATGTCGGTGGTATGTCTGTCTTTATGTGTCGGTAGTGTGTCTATCATTATGTCGATGGTGTGTCTATCATTATGTCGGTAGTGTGTCTATCATTTTGTCGGTGGTATGTCTGTCATTATGTCGGTTTCATGTCTGTCATAATGTTAGTGGTGTGTCTGCCGTTATATCGGTGGTATGTCTGTCATTATGTCGGTGGTATGTCTGTCATTATGTCGGTGGTATGTCTGTCATTATGTCGGTAGTGTGTCTATCATTATGTCGATGGTGTGTCTATCATTATGTCGGTAGTAGGCCTGACATTGTGTCGGTGTGTGTATCTGTCATTATGTCGGGGTATGTCTATCATTATGTCGGTAGTGTGTCTGTCTTATGTCTATCATTATGTCGGTGGCATGTCTATCATTATGTCGGTGGCATGTCTATCATTATGTCGGTGGCATGTCTATCATTATGTCGGTAGTGTGTCTGTCTTTATGTCGGTAGTGTGTCTATCATTATGTCGGTAGTGTGTCTATCATTTTGTCGGTGGTATGTCTGTCATTATGTCAGTTTCATGTCTGTCATAATGTTAGTGGTGTGTCTGCCGTTATATCGGTGGTATGTCTGTCATTATGTCGGTGGTATGTCTGTCTTTATGTCGGTGGTATGTCTGTCTTTATGTCCGTGGTGTGTCTGTCTTTATGTCGGAAGTGTGTCTGTCAATAATAGAAATCCTACTTGTTTACCATGATATGTTTATAAATCAAGAAACATATCAAACTGACAAGAATAAACCACTAGATTTGATTAGAAAATACATGTTTTAATTTCCTCACGTTGATTACTTCATATCAATAATATTTAAATGAACTTGAATAAAATTAGCACACTGATGCCTACATACCAGCAAACTTGACATGAATTTTATTCTCCGTTTTGAATAGTTGAATATATTGCCTGCATTTTGGTGCAAAGTCTTTCACAGCCCAAGATCGTAAAATGGTATGCTGATCCTGAAACAATTATAAAGACATCCAGTTGATGTATAATCGTTTACTACATAAAAGTTATGTTAACAAATATAATGTAGTTTATTCACTTTGATATGAAAATGAAACATATATAACATTACACAGTAAGATATGCAACTTCAACAGCTTTATTATTATCATTGTCTAAGATAATTTGATGCTTTATAAGTGTGTGAAGTTTGAGGGAGAATCCTTTAAAGATCGAAGCCGATAGAGCGCTGACAAACGGACGGATGGACGGACGTAGAGGTTTTCCATAATCCCTCCGAATTCACAGGTTTGGGACTAATAACTAACAAAAATAACTTAACTCACAGTAGACTTTTGTGATAGGCAACGATAGGCTAAAGGGCGAAAAACAAAACAAATAAAAATAAAATATTGAAGGTATTACTAACCGCTTCGTCTCTGTTATTACAGGCAGTGGGCGTAAGGATGAAACAACCGTCAGCTTCGTGTATCCTGTAAATATAATCATTTAAATAAATTCATCAATTACAATTTAATACTCTGCATGTTATGTTTTAAAATAAACTATTACGCCATTCAACCAAATGAAATTGACATAATTAATTCATCCAGATGACTACGTTTATAAAATTCCAAAAAAAGAATGTAGGTGAATTTAATACACGAAAACACATTAGCATCAGAGTGGTGAAATTATGAACATATATACTGAACGACTTTTATTTGTATTGAATACTTATTATGAGCTCAAAAGTCTTTGTAGCAACAAGTTTTGTAGGATTTGTTCTTGTTACCAAGGAAATGGAGTGGGTTCTTAAAATTAGAGTATTCCACGGGAAAAACACGAGCCCAGGGCTCATTTTTGAGTTCCGAAAAATACCTGCATCGTTTGAGATCAATATCCTTCAAAGCTGACCCTCGCATGTATATCACACGGTGAGCCCATTTTGGGTCCTTCAATATCATCTGTAGGCTGGTGTCCCTTTCCTCAGAGCTCAGCAAAACTACAATGTGATCCTGAAATTCAAATGCATAATCGCCATGTCTATATACTAATATTATAAACCAATCTCTACTGTTATGAATGCATTACCAAACAATATATATTTTAATCATATACTCATCTACGCTTAAAGGAAATGTTACCTATCAAATTTAAGAGTGATATAAACATCTATTGTCAAAATCCGAGAATAGTTCCGATCGACCATTTTTGCTTTCTTGAATAGATAAACAGTTAAATGATTTGAGAAATATTTTCAAACACTTTTCGAGATTTCAACCTTCAAATATCTAAATCGAAGATGGTGGTCTGTCAGGCTTTTCGATTTACCAAAAACGGAATTAGCACATTAAGGGACCACGTGGAACGTATTTGAGTGTCCCCTTTGTTATCTGTACTGCAGGGATTTTTCTCAAATTTAACATGTAGGTTGCCTTGCATCATACTATTGCTTCGTTTCAAAACGTGACACAATGGTTACCTCAAACTTAGGGTATACCAGCGGTATCTACCACCTGTTATCTCGAAGATTGTACAACAGGCACACAAATGAATAACACCTTTTAATAATTAGATACAGTAGAGACAGATCATAAGTTAATTGCATACTTAAGTGGGACACAATGAAATAAACGCGCACCATACAAATGTTTTGTCTTTCTAATATCTGAATTTTAAAACCTTAATGGCAAATGAAAACAAAAAACAAAAAACCTCAAAATGATCGGAAGAAATGTCAAAATCTAGATGGAAAAGTGAACTAGCCTCATAGTTCAGTCCCCCAACGTCGATATATAATCAATTCACTCTGTTTGAAATGATAAAAAAAAAATCTGACATTTCCTGAAGCAAGGTGACGTAATACAAAGTGGTGGTCTGCATATAGAACATAAACGCCTCATGTCGATATTACCTCTAGTTTTGGATGGGCGTAAAATTCAATGAGGAAGTCCATGATACTTTCTGCTGTGAGGTTAGTAGCACAGACAACCACATGTCTATGGCCCGCCGAGTGTCGCTGACTGTATTCTCCTCCGATTTTTTTCCTCTCTTTTAATGTAGACGTAATACCTTCAACCTGATGGTAATAAATAATGAATAAATGATACAAATAAAATGATTGTGTGTCACATTTATAATGTTTATGTCTGTTTCACGGTAAGGGCTACCGTGACCGAAAGCGATGTTCCTACCAACATACAAAATGGCGACGAACGATAATTGATGACGTAATGAAACCTGTTCACGAAAATAAGGTTTCGGTTAAAATGTTTCATGAGGACTTAGCCTTTAGTGTGTTTTGAAGTAAATGTCTCCGCTTTCATCACAATACTGCCCTTCTATCAAAGAGTCTCAAAAAGTACGAATAATTTTATTTCAATTCAACATCTTCGTTGGTTACACTTTGATCAGCTCGTGACAACATGAACTTCGACCACGTGAGAGGTTAGAGAGTAATATCGTGCTAATGTAGTTTTAGTGATAATTTCAAAAACTGGGATTTTTTTCGCGTTTTCTCTTTTAAATCACATATTTGATGAAATGGATTTGTGTGTTTCATAATTTCTTTGGTCATATTGTAAAATACATTCCTTGTTTCTTCAAAAATACACAAATATATTTTTGGAATTTCAGAAATCACCTTATCTTTAGTATATTTTAATATAACTTTTCATTTTAATCTTATTGAACGTTATATAAGGTTTATATAAGATTTTATGACATCTTAGTAAAGAGTTATAGGTTTAAATGATATTTTATCACATTGTAGTAAATCGTTATTGAAGATTTGTATGAGACATTATTACATTTTGGTAAATTGTTACTGAAAGTTGATATGAGATTTTGATACAATTTGAAGGTTTATGTGAGATTAAATTATATTTCAGTAAGTCGTCATTGAAAGTTTATGCGAGATTTAATTACATTTCAGTAAGTCGTCATTGAAGGTTTATGCGAGATTTAATTACATTTCAGTAAGTCGTCATTGAAGGTTTATGTGAGATTTAATTACATTTCAGTAAGTCGTCATTGAAGGTTTATGCGAGATTTAATTACATTTCAGTAAGTCGTCATTGAAGGTTTATGCGAGATTTAATTACATTTCAGTAAGTCGTCATTGAAGGTTTATGCGAGATTTAATTACATTTCAGTAAGTCGTCATTGAAGGTTTATGCGAGATTTAATTACATTTCAGTAAGTCGTCATTGAAGGTTTATGCGAGATTTAATTACATTTCAGTAAGTCGTCATTGAAGGTTTATGCGAGATTTAATTACATTTCAGTAAGTCGTTGTTGAAGGTTTATGTGAGATTTTATTACATTTCAGTAAGTCGTTGTTGAAGGTTTATGTGAGATTTTATTACATGTCTGCCATCGAGATATCTCATTGATATAATTGGGGTTTTTTTTAGTGAAAAATAATACTTTTGCAGACTTACGCCAATGAAACGAGGGAACACAAATCATCTGATAAAAGTAACAAAGCATAAACCCCCATACAATAAACACAAAACCAGACATCCGAAAGGGCTGTTTACTTGTGACACTACCTTCAATTACGTAGTAAACTTTCATTTCCATGAAAGTCAACAAGCAATGCAACGCAAATTACCTTATCTGACATCGAACCTAACCCCAAGCAAAATGTCTTGAATGTGCAGCTAACGCGTTAGACATTTCAAAGGGATTTGTGTCATCAACAGCGACAGCTGTAGGTTGCCGACATATTTTCTGCCGCGTAGTAACTTGTCACAGGTTAGATTATCTTTGAATAGGTAACATTTTCTTTGTGAATATTAAAATAAATTGTCATGAAAATTTATTTTTGTGTTAACATACTTTTAATGAATTTTGAAAAAAAAAATTGGTTATATTTTGTCGCGTACTGGGAAGCTAGAATGATTGAGTAGTGTCTGCGAAAAGCCTAGTCAGCTTCCTCATTTTACACCTGTTTTTAACAAGCCAGTAAATTTGGTTATTTTGCACGTGGAAATGTAATAAATGCGAAAACAAAACAAACACTTCACGGAGACAACATATCATTTCCTTGTCGGGGACAACATTGTTTCGCTTACATGTCCAGTACAGCAGCATATCATTAACTTGTCGGGGGGAAACATCATATCACTTACTTGTCGTTGCCTATGGTTGGTATTTCTTACCTGCCTTGGTATAAAAGCGAATGCCAAACATATCATGAAGGTCATGAATAGCTGTCCAAGCCATGTATCCGGTGAGATGTCACCGTATCCGACCGTGCTGAAGGTCACAACTACAAAGTACATAGCCTCGAACATGGACAGTTGATGGCCATTACTTCCCCGCTGTATGTGTTGTATGCCGCATATCCTGTCATAGAAAAGAGTTTATCAATAGAAACAAATGGTACGCAATCCTATATTAATCTTATAGGATCTTTTTAACTAGTTAGTTCTCGTTGTCTGCAAAATATGTTTGGTAAAAATTGCTTAAGATCCAACCAGAAGTGTAAGGATTTTAGACATTTTAACCTGGGAAACTAAAATTAAATTCCTTCAATACATCCATACTTAGGACCAAAAACGGTACCACCGATTCCTCTATTACACATACTAATATCACGTCCGTCTAGCCCCAGGTGGTATGATCTTTCCTATACACAACTGAGTCTCCTTTACCCAAAACGACTTCAGATCAAATTTGTATAAAATTCTGTTATTTCTAAAGGAGGATGTTTTCTATTTCACCTAATGGACCCTACCCTTCCGCTTCAGAGGGGCAACTAGCGTCGTTTATACCAAACCAATTTCCATGCACCACACGAGGCTTCAGAACAAATTATGAAAGAATCATGTTTTCTCCACAGAAGAGGAGTGATTTTAATATTTGTTCTATTTACTCGACAAAAAAGAAACTCAAAATTAAATTATGCAACCAATAGCCTATGACATTTTGGGAAAATTGTACAAAATTTCGATCTGTAAAGGGACCAGTCTACTTTTTACAAAACTGTAGAAGAAAAATATGTGTGACGTCACTCGTGTCATCAGTAGTTACTCAAAGCGGGATACCCGCAAAATACAAAATGACACTTCAGGGCCTGGTGAGGGCACCTCTTGCACGAATATCTGCACGGATTCTCCTATGTATTCATTAATTCATGAGAGTATTAATTCACTGTAAGGGAATGCTGTTCCATTCTTGTGTTAATGCCGCGACGCGATCAACTAGGCGCAGTTAGTTGGGGGAGGGGGTTGACGTTTCCTAATACGCCTGTCCAGCTCATCCTTCAGATGCTCCATGAATATGATAGTCATTCCAGAGGCTGAACGTTGTTTGTTGTGAGCAAATCGCGACAGACTCTGGCAACATGTGGTCAAGCATTTTCTTTTCGGCTATGACGTCTGAAAAGTGGAAGGATATGGGGTTGGAGGATCAGGTCTCTGTATCGAACAGCATTCAGGTTTGGATCCAGGACCACTGAGGCGGATTTTAATCCATGGGGGATGGCTCTCCAAACCATTACAGTAGCCCAAACGAATCTATCGCGTTCAACCACGCATGCGTCGGCGAAACGTTCACCGCGTCTGCAATACACCCTTTTCCTTCCGTTTGAGCTATACAGACAGAACTTCACGCGCCTCCACCGACGCATCTCAAACCTCTTAGGGTCATGTCTAAGCATACAGTCAAGACGCACTTGTGGCCCGACACATGGTCGGCGCGCAATGATTCTCTCGGCACGCAAGCGGTTCCTTCCTAGAAGCCTAAGTACTAATGCGTCTGCCATGTGTACCTAAAGTATGCGACGCAGTCTCTACATCAGTCTTCAATCTGTTGCGCAAGTGTGACAATCGAATCGCCCTGTCTTGTCGCGCGGTCGTTAAACGCGGACGTCCGCTCCTGGAACGATCGGAAACTAACACAGCAGCATAGAAACGTGCATAGATGACGATTAATTGTGCACTGGGCAATGCCAAACTGCCGAACAGTTTATACAGAAACCGTTTATACAAAATTGATTTTCCTTCATCCGAAGATGATTAAGATAAACTTGAAGACAGAATAAGAGGATTCCTGCAGATCGAGAAAGATGCTTAACTAATTTGCTCCATGCCTCCTATCTGGCCCAAGGGAGCTTAGACTTACAATTTATACACATGTATACAATTGATTTTTCTTCAGCTAAAGAAAGCTTCAGAGCAAAATAGGGTGAAGCCTGTTATTTCAAGGGATGGAGAAGGTTTCTAAAAAAAAATGAAAATTTCCCTTTGTGTGTGTGTGTGTTTTGTTTTGTTTCGTTTTTTTTTTTTTTTTTTTTTGTGTCTCGCCCCTCACATTCTGGGGGCCGAGACCCACCATTTAAACAAAATTTGTTTCTCTCCCTTAAGGATGTTTCAGACTAAATTTGAAAAAAAATCTCAGTTTGTCATAACTGTGAGCGAGTTTTAGGAAAAATTGACAGACGAAAGACGATGACAATGGACGGATGACAGACGCATAAGCATAACTTTGAACCGTGAAAGATAAAAACGAAATAAGTACAAAAATCTCTAAATATTTTACCATGGCATGTTGTATATGATAAAATAATACCTGTCCAGTACGCATACTTACGTGGTAAATATGAGGCACCACAGCGTAACGAGAAGAACTAGAAGTTGTTGTGAAAGAGTCACAGATATTGTCTGAAATCTCTGTCTTGTTAGGTGGAGATCGTTCTAAAACAACACAAATTTTACAAATTAATACAATCGTAATCCAAACTCAGAATCGATGAAGCAATTGTAAAACATGAATGAAAGGCAGATTTACACGGAGGCAAGGTTAACTATGTCAGAATCTCAAATAAGAACAAATTTAAGAAAACAGAAACACATTGAGACGGGAATGGAATATTTCTAACCACTTTTTAATAAAGTCATAACTTTGATTTACTTATTTGATTTCTTCACACACAAAGTGTTTCTTACCCTTTATACATGAAATTGTTTGATATCACATATCAGATTTTATAATTGTTATTTCCCTGTGTAACATATAAATCCGCTGGAGTTGGTTAAGTTCCTTATCTAGAGGCGTCCACATCATCCATAAGTTACTTGAGCATTTTTCCTTACAAAAGACTCTATTCTTCATCGCATGAATTGAATGGCTGTCTACATGACCAGATCGACACATTTGTCCAACTTAATCATCAGTATTAAAAATATCAAGCTACAAAATACTGGAGGGTGAATCAAAACACCAATCATCGGCTCAAATCATGTCGGCTAAATTTTCTTAAATCTAGGAGCCTCCACGGTACCAATTTATCTCTATAACTCAATTCAATGTATGGTACCTACCAGTAATTTCTGGAGAGATCTTCGGACAAGCCAACAGTTGAGGAAACAAGGAATAAATATGTTGCTAAGTAACGGTGGGTACAACACCTATCGGAAAAATAATAATTCATCCAATGAGATCATTTTATCCCGCCACTTTTAATCCATAAACACGCCTTATTCATGTTTCCCAACTTAATGCCTTTGTAAATATTTCTATGGTTAAATTTTTGTATTTGTCAATTTTTCCTTCAGAGATCTTACTTTATTTCTCTGATCATGTTTAACTATGATTGAATTATCCAGAAGCCTGCACGTGTCAAAATTTACACTAATAGCAAGTGTAGTTTAAAAATAATGACAATTAAAATATCAACAGGTGAACGGAAGATTAATTTAAGCTCAAGTCAGATGAATTTTAAACTATGGCAAAATAAAAGATTAAACAATGACATATAACCCATTGTCATATGTCTATGATAGATTTATCAATATATAACTAATATAACCGCAGGGAAATAAGGTGTTGTCTTGATTAACCAAAGTTTCTGTACACAGAAATCAGTTCCTTACACTTACTAATACGTGTCACAATGGACTATGTGGGGGAATTAAAATACAGACATAATCATTCTATATTTCAGGTCATATGCTCAAGTTTTGTAAGGGACAAAATTATTTAGTCTCATCATTATTTGCTTGTATCTCAAAACCTAGAATGTGTTTTTATATAGAATACACAAATTACTAGACAGAATTGTTATTAATCTAATCAATAAGTACAGCAAACGTTGGTACAAAAATAACATTACACCAAAAATGGATAGAGAAAGTGTCCTTTTCTCAAGCCAAATTATATTAACTGAACTGTTAGTTGTATCAACCAGATGTTTATTCGGTAGGCGAAAAGTAAATGTAAAACTATTGATATACAAATGTAGTTCGCTTCAAATGCTTTCATATTGTGCCATACTATCGTCATAACTTGCGAGATATATTATAAAATAAGTCATCTTAAATTCACCAATTTTCTACAATCGAATGTCTGTGGTATGATGTATTTATCAATATTGTTTCGAGTCAGATACTTACCGTAACAAGAAAAGGCACTGTACAAATGAGATCCAGTATAAACCCATCGTGTGTAAGTTTCTGTAAACAGGTGCCCTAGCAGTAAAATTAAACAAAATTGTAGTTTTGTCTGCGTAGCAAAAACAATAGTATCTTAATTAAGTACATCTGTTTTCAAAAACAATCCTAATTTTATATCTTGAGTACAGAAGTTAAACCATATGCCCAATGCATGTGTGGAGCTGCCTTTGGTACCAACAAAATCTCGATCACACTGTGTTATCATGACAATGTGTTGTCTTCATGCATTCCAGTAAAACCATCTGCTGCATGTTGTCCATAAAAGTCAGGTACTTTTTTTAACAATCTCTTATGATCCCGACTTTCTCATTTCATTATATTGAAAGGTTGACATAATAGCGTAGGTTAGAGCGAGAAATCAAGATACGATTTTGAAGCCCGTGTTACACTGAATTACATTTTGACGTTACAATTATTGTTCAGAACATGCACATTCTCCCACATGAAAATCACAAAGATATAATTCGCTGATAATTTAAAATTCGATCATGATCTATGAGGATATGAAATATATGATAGTATATGTTACATCGTGCTGATCAATTTACTCATCTTTACGATCGTAAGTAGAGAACGTTATATTGATAAATATATGGGGAAAATTAACACACCATTACGATAGTGTGTAGAAGTTAATTGTTATATTGATAATGTTATATTGATAAATGAGAGATCAATTTACATAACTTTACTATCGTGTATAGAAAATGTTATTTTGAAAAATATTAGATTGACACACTTTTACGATAGTATATAGCAAATGTTATCTTGGTAAATAGGGAATCTGTTTACATACCTTTAAGATAGTATAAAAAGAATGTTATATTGATAAATAGGGAAAAAATTAACACAACTGTACGATCGTTTGTAGATAAAGTGATATTGGTGAATAGGGGATCAATTTACACACCTTTACGATCGTGTTAGAAAATGTTATATTGATAAATAAGGGATAATTTTACACACCTTTACGATAGTGTTTAAAGATTTTTTATGTCGGTAAGTAGAGGATCATTTTAAACACCTTTACGATAGCGTGTAGAGAATGTTATATTGATAAATAAGGGATCAATTTATACACTTTTACGATAGTGTTTAAAGGTTGTTATGTTGGTAAATAGGGGGCTTTTATACTCACCTTTGATCCGATGTATATGTCCAATAAGCCTTTCATCAACGTCATGAAGGACAGAATGACTTGAATAAGCCACAGGATGAATGAGCGACGAACCCATATCAATACATACCTGTCCATATAAAATGTAATGTGTTATAGAACATCGGTAAAACATCTTACCCAGATCGGTCAACTAGTTAAAATTAACTATAAAATGGTTTGTGATAAACAATATCATATATCACACCTAGTTAAACGTTCATGTGTAATATTTCGATGACTACATCAGATTGACTACACAAATTAGCGTTCCTTATCGAAGACTTTAGGAAATAAATTCTTAATAAATTCTTGAATAGCCAGTAGAATATCTTTTTAAGTATATATAAGACTTGTTATCACGTCGAAATAAACCAGAGATGCCACAAAAAATTAACTTTAAGTGCAACATTAGTCGGACACAGCGGTTATATCGCCAAATATCTATATTCGCCATTACATTTCACCCTTCTCTGTTTTTTCTTAGAGACAAGAACCAAATACAATAAAAATGAACAGTCAAACATACATGTTTAGTATCTTCACAAGTAACCTTTACATATATCATTAATATCTACACAGGTAACCTTTACAGTACAGCCTGCATACTTAGTATCTACACAAATCTCCTTTACAGTATAACATACATCTTTAATATCTACACAAGTAACCTTTACAGTATAACATACAATTTCAATATCTACACAAATCACATTTACAGTATAACATGTATGTTTACTATCTACACAAGTAACCTTTAAGTATAACATGCATATTTAGTATCTACACAAATCACCTTTACAGTCTATCATACATCTTTAATATCTACACAAGTAACCTTTACAGTATAACACACATCTTTATCATTTACCCAAATTACCATCACCGTCTAACATATATGTTTAGTTCCTACATATATTGTATGACATTCATGTTTAGTATCAAAGCAATTATTTTTTTCGGTATAATATACTTGTTTACACCAGTAAACAATATTGTCTCTGAAACCTACCAGTTAATGGCGTTTGATGAAAACACCATTTTGTCGTTGTCAACCGGAAGTGTGAGATTTCGATCCGCACAACTGTAGCCATAGCTAAAAAGACACAAATTTGTCAATCTAGTTAAAAGTTATGCCTTAAATGAGTCAACAAAATATGCACGATGAAGGAATCACCATATAAAATGTATTCCATTTTGAAGTCCGTTTTGTGGAAACGAGCTTATTTGTGCGTATTTCTTTATCAATTTTGTTATATTGTTGTTTTCTGTATAATGTGGGCATGGTTTCAGCATTCCACTTTTTTGTTACGTAAGAAGCACTTTTAATACTTTTGTGCTTTATACGTTCTAATAATCACAGGACATACTTCTGTTACGTAGATTTATCTACATAAGTACACATTTATTTATTAACACATGCTTAGTACAGTATATATGCTTTCATATATGCGTGCAACTGGTACTTGTCACATAAAATACGCGCGTTATAATCATAATGACAATTTATAAGTCACAAATACCGTATATATATTTGCTTTAAACGCATGACGCATGATATATCACTTCAAATAGTATCGATGGCATCCAACACGTGACTAAGACGCCATTATTGCTTTCATGAAAAAAATGACGTTGAATATAAAAAAGTTGTTCCACACTGCGCATTTCTATGCCGTCTATAACTGAGCCGCGTTAGTTTAAATCGATTTACAATCTGCATTACACACATATGTAATGAAAGTTAGCATATACATAGTGAAAAACAACAGGGTGGTTACCACATATGTCATAAAAAGTCACATACTTCGGTGTCTGAAATACTTCATAGACAGTAATATATGTACAACTATATTGTATCAATGCATTGTCTGGATGATATTGGTATGTGGCATTAACATACACTTTATCAATACAGAGATATTTACATATTCTGTCAATAAGTAAAATATTTTCCCTAATGAAGCAAGTCAATTGTTAATATTTGTTTTTTTCTTAATATTAAATTAACTATCCATGCCGGGCACTATCATGATTCGCCGTTGCGAATACATAAACACAGTCTAAAATAATTATATACCTTATATACCACTGATAGTAAACTTACCATTATCAGTAAACTTACCACTGACAGTAGACGCACTACTGACAGTAGACGCACCACTGATAGCAAATATATTTACCTTGATAGTAAAACAAGTAATAGTAAACTTACTACTGTTAAACGACTTACCACTGATAGCAGACTAGCTACTAACAGTTAACTTATCACTGACAGTTGAAAGCAAACATACTTACCATTGATAGTAAAACAAACATACAAGTAATAGTAAACTTACCACTAATGAAAGATTTACCATTGATACCAGTTTTAGCAATAACAGCGTACCACTGATTGTAAAGAAGACTTGCCACTGGTACATATCATATCACTGATAGTAAGCCTACCACTGGCAGAAATGTGAACTTACTTCTGCAAGAAAAGTAGACTTACTACTCTTATAGTACTGGTGGACAATGATATTAATGGCGGACTTATCACTAATAGTCAAGTACACTTTCCACTGTTAACACCGAAGGACTTACCAAGGATATAAAGGGTCATCTTACCATCGATAGAAAAGGTACATTTACCGCTGAAAATAATGCAGAATTACCACTGATAGTAAAGATGGACTTAACACTGATATAAAAAATTACCTTTGATCGTAGTTTTACCATCGATGTCAGACTTAGCACTATAAATAAAGTAGACGTACCACTGATAGTAATGTCGTCTTACCACTTATAATAAATGTTGACTTACAACTGAAAGTTAAGTAGACATACCACTGATCGCAAGGGTGGACCTGCCACAAACAACAGAGTACACTTACTACTGAAAATTAAAGTGAATTTACCACTCATTGTAACTTAAAAGTACCGCTGATAGTAAGTAGACTTACCGCTGATAGCAAAGGGGACATACCACTAAGAGAAAAATAGACTTATTACTGATAACAAAGGCGGACTCATCAATGATGGTAAAGAAGTGAATTTACCAATGATATAAAAGTGAAAGTAAAGTAGACTTTCTTCTGATAGTAAAGTCGACATATCAATAATAGCTAACCAGGACTTGATATTGATAGCAAGGGTGGTTCTACCACTGACAGTAAATGTGAATTTTCCACTGAAAGTAAATGAAAGCATAGATTCACTTACCAACAGTAGCAAAATTCAACTTTCTAATGATAACACATGTTAACTTATATATGAAAGTTGACTAACAACTAATAGTTAAGTAGATTAACTTCTGATCCTAAAGTAGACTAACTATTAATATTAAAGAAGACATAACACCAATAGTTAAGTGGACTCATTAATGATGCTTAAGCAGAATAACTACTGATAGTAAAGGAGACTGAATACTAAGGGTTACGTAGGCGTATTACTAATAGAAAAGTAAATTTACTACTGATAGTAAAGTTGGCTAATTACTGATATTAAAGTAGACTAACTTCTGATATTAGAGTAGACTTACTACTCTTAGTAAAATGGACTGGCTAATGATATCAAAGTAGACTTACTACTACTCTTAGAGTAGACTTACTGCTTATAGTTAAGTGGACTGGCTAATGTTATTAAAGTAGACTAACTTCTGATATTAGAGTAGACTTACTACTGTTAGTAAAGTGGACTAATTACTGATATTGAAGTAGACTTACTACTGATATCAGAGTAGACTTACTACTGCTAGTAAAGTGGGCTGACTAATGAAATTAATGACTCGCTACAGATAGTAAATTAGACAGTGTTGGCATGCCATTGATAGTTAACTAACTAATGTTATTTAAGTACACTTACGTAAACCCCATTCATAACGACGAAAATTTGCTTATATATGCAAATTTACACATGAGTAAATTTACACACATAAGTAAAAGTTAATTTGCTATGCGTTCATGAGAGATTTATGTTCCGTCAGGACATCCCCAAATTGTCATTTGAAATAAGAAGATGGACTGGTTCAGACTAGTGTATTTTCACAGAAAAAAAGGGTATCCCCTTGCTATTTGGGCATAGGACTAGCTATTGGATGTTCCCGAATCAAGAATACTAGAAGGAAAGTCCGATCCACTGAATGGTACGACAGAACCTTACCTAATGACTTTAAGGACGAAGATTGGTATGAGAATGAAAAAGGAAACATCCTTTAAATTTTGTGAAAAATTGGAAAATGCATTGGCCCCTGTACGCATACTCCCATCATAGCTCCTAAGCATTCCCATGGAGCCTACTTGAACAGGAATGGGTTTTTTTACTCCTTGATTTTGCAGGGTGTTTGCGACCACAGCTATATCTTTAGAGGAAAGTACTATTGCCAGTGGTTCTTCGTGGCGACCCAGCGTATACTTTGTAGAGTTGGCGTTTGAAGTCATACACCAGCAGATCTACTTTTACAGAAACTCAGTCTACTTTCAACTATCGTTTAAGTAGAGCACGAATGACGATTGAAAATTCGTTTGGCCGTTTGAAAGGCGCCATGTTTTCAGAATTATGTTTTTCCCGCCAAAGCACACACAACCATAACAACGCTTGAAATGATGCAATACACATGACAAAATAATTACATAACTAAATTTGCTGCGTGTTCATACGACAATATTTACACACGGGAGCAAATAATTTGCGACAACATGTATGCAAAATTTAATTTGCACCTAGTCCTTGTCCAGGTGCAAATTTACTCATCTGTGCAGAATTTGCATATGAGCAAAATGTAAGTAAATTTACATATGGGTAAAATATACTGAGGTATGCAAATCGTATGAATGGGGTTTAAGTAAAGTAGACTGACTACTAACAGTAAAGAAGGCTTTATTTCTAATAAAAAAGTAGACTTACTACTGATAGTAAAGTAGAGGAACTCCTGTTAGGTTAGTGGACTGACTAATGACATTTAAATAGACCGATCACTGATAGTAAAGAAGACTAACAAATTATATTTAAGTAATTTAAGTAAACTAACTACTGATTGCAAAGTTGACTGATAACAGATAGCAAAATAGACTAACTAATGATAATAACGTGGACATACCATACTAAAGTTCACTTACTACTTATTGTAAAGATGACTAATTACTAATAGAAAAGTAGACTTACTACTGATATTTAAGAAGACTAACTACTGATCCTTAAAGTACAATTACCACTGATAGTAAAAGTGGACGTACCAATCAAACCAACAATGAAGTGATAGGACTTTCCATTTATGACAGATGATGAATTTTTCAATGATATGAAAAATGGATTTTTCATTGATTGACACCGTGGATTTCAACGCATATTTGGACTTACCATTGATAGGACAAGTGATCATCTAATTCCACTCTAATGACATATAGTAAGCACAAGATGACCTTCAGCACCAAGTCCACTATCCGGCTTCCGAGGCCTGAAAAACCAGCGTTAAAGTTGAATGAAAGTTCACTATTTACAGTGAAGACGACCTTGTCATTCGACTTGAAATAAACAAAAGTGATCGAAAGTGTGCATGTTTTTCAACACCGACAACTGATAGCGGCCAGACAGTTTTCAGCACTTTTGTGTTCAAGAGCGTACTATAAAGTACATTTCTAGTAGTCATGTGTACCATGGTATAAAAGTGATTGAAAAATGAAGAGCGTTAGAACGAATAATGACAGAATTTGTATCGATTAACGTGGGTACTTAATGGGAAAACAAGAATTTATTTATATAAAACATTAATGTAGTCTCATCAAGAAGAATATTGTCACTATTATTTTACAAAAATATGCAAAACTTCGAAAAAATGGAAAAAGGTAAGTGTTAACGGAAAATAATGGTCTTTTTCCGAAAATTAACTTTCCATTTCACGTAGATATTACACCTGTCAAATGAAAAGCTATGTTGATAAAAACAACAGACCAGACTATTCATCAGGAGTAAGGAATTTCAAACAGACCCAATGAAAACTTTTTGTGTAACGAATGTCCGTTTTTTGCTTTAAATGAGGGACAATTGCATACCAAAATTTGAATCCGAACAGTGTTTATAAAAGTTATAAAAATTATGACATTCAAATGTGTGTCGTGTTACACTTTAGTGTATAACAGGGTACCAAACAAAATGGTACCATAATACGCTTTTAAATATGAGAGTTATGAAATGCATCATCGTACTATAGCCAGTGTATGTGAAAAGGTGTGTTATTTAGTGAGGCACATCATTTACTAACAGACTGGGAGAGATAAAATTTGCCATATTTTTGTATAGAAAAAATTATGTGAGGTGTGTAAAAAGATAGTTTGTCCTCCTTGGTTAGAAATCTTCTTTTTATAATTAACATATGTTAACATTGTACGGATTCAGCCATATGTCACCAAATCCTACATTATCTGAATCAATGTTGGCCAAGATAAAGTCGGTTCTACTACCATATCAATTGACTTGAAAAATGGTAACAATTCGAAACAATGTAATTCTCGCTATGAACAAATTTAAACCGATATTCAAACTTTGCATGTTATCTAATTAACTCCGAGGAGAAAAGGCCCACTTTACTATACACCAAATTATGTTTTGTTGACTTTAAAAAATAATTTCTGATATAAAATAATGCCAACATGGCTTAACGCCCCTGGGCAGCAATTTTTTCTTGAATATCATTATATAAATCATTGGAACGAGTTTAAAAACGGCTTTAAGCATGCTGAAAAGAGTATGTTTAAGTGACCTTTTAGACATGTACAACAACAAACGTCACGGCAACAACAAGGCTAAAAGGAAACACACATACCATAAATAATAAAAAATAAAAGTTATAAGATATGCATATGAAGTAAAAATTGTGTTTGCTTTAAGAAAAAAAAATAAAAGGAAAAGACAAATCAGCACTTTGATGAGTTTTGTCTTAAAAACCAGATAATATAAATAATATTCATAGAATTTATGATTTATGCAGGAGAAAGTTCTGTGACACCTTATGTAATTATAAAGCTTTTACCAAACAAAAATAATCTCAAATTATTTACTGGTTTATGATTTACAGAGCGCCAATAACTGAAACCAATGATAAATCATAAGGAAAATACACCTAAGCTAAAGGCGAAAAATGTATTGAAACAAAGATGTGACTTGAAAGTTAATCAGCCCGGGGTTGACATTTCCTGCGACGTTCATGACTGTGCATATACATGTAAATACACACTAGACATGTAGGCTAGTTTCAAATACATGTACACGATTAATGTAACAGGGCAAGGAACAATCAGGGTCCAAATACCACACCCATATATATATGATAATTACAGGATGAGTCAGGACTTACCACGTAATCTCTTATTTCAGCCCTAATTGTTTGTAAATCAAAGTTAATTGGTAAAGGAACAAGACATATGTCTTTATGTTAAATAATGATAAGTTATTACAAAAAAATAATTTAAAAATGATTGAAATTAAAATTTATAAATCTTTATATATCGCTGATTGCCAAAACAAATAATATTAACATAATCTACTCGACTGATTAGTTATGTTTTTAACATAATTGCCCCGTCCTTGTATGGTCTTGGCGAGGAAGTTAAACCCGATACATCAAAACTAAGCCTATCTTTATTAAACAATAGGTGTGAGAGATTCCCCATGATGAGTATCGACTTTATCTAACCTTTCATTAGATCAGTCTCGATTTTCTTCGAACCAAGATTTCACGATTAAGGCCACAGGTAGCACTGGTAAGCCCGAGAAGGATGAAACAGCTGTATGACACAGTCATCTTTTATCTTTACTGTGTCTGGCTCTAAATCTGGTTTGAAAGATCCTATCCATTTAAGTGTTCTTTGTACAGTCTTGCCTAAAAATGCTTTGCATGTGAATAATTGTGTTTCATTTGATTCCACTTGATTACATTTCAAGCTATCAATTGGATGTTACCATAGAAACTGACAATATAAACATACGTCTTGACTTACTATTTCTGAAAATCACATCCTTTTAATTTGACTAAAACTAAAATCGTTAGGAAATGTGGCATCATGTGTTTCATTAATTAAATGTCTGAAAATTATCAAGAACTATAAGAAGGGACTTATTTTTTCCAGATTATTTGCACTTGTTACTATAGTGATAGCGATTAGGATGTCACATATTGACACAACCAAATAACATTCTATGTGAATTCATAGGATTTTTTCAGTTTTGTGTATTACACATGATGTCCGGGTAAAGCCAATATACATGTAGATTATTCTTTAAATCAATGGCAATGTCAGAACATATTTAATGGAAACAAAGTTCGGTTTTACTTACGTGTTGTTGGCTTTCGTAAAAACAATCTTTTGAGACGGCCCCTAAAGGACAGTTCGTTGGTGAAATACTTCACTCGGGTAGAACTGTAAGGAGAACAATTGATATATGCATCATTATCACAACTATATAATGACACAAAATTATAAAAAAAGAAATGTTGATTTTCAAATGTTAGAATCGAACAAAATGCCGGATATCCATAACATAGGTAATATTATTCTCTGTCTAAGAGATATGAAATCAGCAAAACTGTCACATCCCTGTTTAAGTAGTTAAGTGATTCCAGCGAGTTTTCTTCCGATAAACTTATCAATTCCTCAAATATCGGCTCTTGAAAGCGGACATTTCTTTTCCCTAGTTCATTCATCGTCAGGTCTACATGAGTACGTTTAATATTCCCGAAAGCCTCGCTTCCTTCTCATTTCATCTTCTATAATATATACACATATTTCTATATATGTGTGTACACACACACACGCACAAAGACTTTCCAATTCCAGACAATCCGTATTGTGATAAAGAAGTCATTTCAGTTAGTCTACCAAGCGTCTCAATCGTTTCAGTATCTGTTATATGTAAGTGCTTTGAATTGGTGTCCTATATAGATTTATGTAGGTTTTAAAAAGGTACTTATGCGTGATTGCATCAAATGAAAGTTACACCGTGTAATAAGTATGAGTGTATCTACAGACACGCATCGCTGAACAAGCAAGTGCTATATATTTAAGTCACATTTGAGGACATAACATATATAACAGCGATATAATTTAAAGTCAGGTAATATGCAATTGCGCCGTTGCACAGCTGAATGTAGGTCAAGGCTTCAACTGTAACTAGTATTATCTGTTTTCATTCCATAAAACGTATCTGACAAATTTCTTTATCAACAATATAAACAATTATAAACAATCTTTATAGAATTTGCATGATTATTTGTTATGTCCAAGCTATGTTCTTGAGCACAATGCTCAAAAGTAAAAAAAAATCACATCGTTAAAAATGACAAAATCTTATATCGGAAGTCAAAACTTAAACTTATTCGATAAAAAATCCAGAGGGAAGGCAATAGTGATACACGTAATATAGACTAAAGCTTACTTTATTCATCTTTGAATGTTTTAAAAGAGTCTTAAGCTACAGGATTGATTTCAAATTCAAAGACACCACGAATTTTGTGGTGAATGTTACATGCTTATTTACATGCGCAACTGCTAAGCGTCCTTTATAGACCAAGTTTCTCTACAGCCGCAAATGCAATGTGAAATACCTTTATGCAATGTCAGTAATTAAGAGGTATGATGTCTTAGATACCCCTCTTTTCCTCTATCAATGCATAATGCTTCGCCAATGAACCATATTGGCAATATAGAGTACCCTTAACCACTAAGCCGATAATCGACCAGATATGCCCAATCAACGAGAATACACCTACATGTCAAAAAATTCCAAAAGAAAAAAATCAAGATGGAGATCCTTGGAAAAGTAAAATAAGACCTGGTGTTCGGGAATGATAATCGTCCTTTGCTTCATCGACGACATTTGTAAGCGTCCAACAATGGAGACTATTCAAGTAAACTTACCAAATATACTATAGCTTTAATAGTTATATCAAATCATTTTTTATATATCCCTGCCGTGATACGAATTCCTGTATATATATGATACACTAAGCAAATTATGTCGGTCATTGTTTAACGATAAAGTCATTTTACCCGAGTATATACTAATCGCTTACAGTGACAATTCTGATATACAGCTGTAAGTGTCCGAAAAATTCGCTATGTTATGGATATTTTCATGTTTTTTTGTTTTTTTTTTTTTGGTTTTTTTTTTTTTGAGGTTTTTCGTACGTTTTCATTTTCAGACAGTAGGGAGTCAAAGTATGCTACAGATTCTATAAAACCTTTATATAGCTACAAGAAACACCAGAGGGATCTTGATTCGTTTACCATTGATGTCTAGTTGAAACCTTTTCTCGTTTTTTTCCTCTCTCTCTCTCTCTTGTTCTTAACTATATGAAATTAAAAACCATCTCGTAAGTAAGAGCAATATCCCAAAATAAAGAGTATACCCAGTGTCTATGGTGAACCTACAGGTTTTTTTTTCAGTCCATCTTGTACGTTGTAGCGATTATCAAACTTTCACTGTCAAAATCGATGATGACCGTGACGCAGCCTCTTTTTTCAGTCTTAAACTTAAAGGGACCTAAGTGAATCTTCATATGATTATTGTGAAGGATCTATCGCGATCTGGAGATTATTATTATTAAGGACTGATGATAGATAGACGATGTGTGTACAACGGACAGAGGACGATTTAAACAGTTCACCATCTGATGTCATTGAACTGAAATAAAGTTGCTAACAAATAAGACTTATTAGCTTTTAAACAACAAAATCTTGGCAACAATCAAAATAATGTGTTGGTACAAGTACATATTAAATTACAGTAAGTAACTTTTTTTCTGGTTCATAAATTATAATCCACTCGTTTGTATACATTAAAACTAAGGATGGATTTGTGCATTATAATTATGACAGAATGTCTGTTTTTCTAATGACAGTCTAGATTTTCAAGGCGTTTGTACTAGGTACCGAAATCAGTTCATCGAGTAAATTATTCAAAACAGCTACATATATATAAGTTTTAATATGATAAACAGACATTTCTCCGACACCGTTTATCATTTCATTATTCGCTGGTAAAGCAGGAAATGTTGAGATTATAATTTTAATCTTAATGCAAATGCAAAACACCACAAGAAAATTCAAACTCGCAGAGAATACGACCCGGTGTTCTGGAAGAGTAAGCGTCTTCTTCTTCGTTGGAGACATCCGCCATGTAAACTTTGGTCAAACCAAGTAAGTAATGTAACGTTCTCAAATAAGAACAATATATACAAACACGGAACCAAAAAGTAAACTAATGAGCATCAAACACGTCCATCTTCATAGTGCACAAAGAAATAAATAATTTTCCAATGGGATCACCGAGCACACACCAAACACAATAATGACAGGAACTAATTAGACATCAATAACAGAATTAACACAACAACAGTAATCAAGCAGACAACAAACACAACAACGACAGGAACTAATTACATATCAGCAACAGTAATAACACAACCCCAGTAACCAAGCTGACATCAAACACAACAACGACAGGAACTAATCAGATATAAGAAACAGCAATACCAAAACACCAGTAATAGAACAGACAATAAAGACAACAATGAAGGGACCTAATTAGATATCAGCAACAGTAATAGCACAACACATGTAAAAAAGCAGACAACAGACACAACAACGACGGAAACTAATTATATATCAGAAACACCAATACCACAGAGCAGACACCAAGCACAACAAAGAAAAAGGTAATTTCCCAATGAGATCATTGAGTCATCACGCGTATCAAGCCTTATTTCTGATGTTATCGTTTCAATAATAACAAGGTAATTTGCACAACTCAAACATTACTTAAACTCAAAATTCCATGATCATTGCATAAGATAGAAGCTTCGACTTAAACTGACACAAGATAAAAGTGTTAGTATATGATATATAACCATCTATATGCGTGCACATCTTCAATTGCACAACGAGTCTCACATAATTTTGGATTACATCAAGGAATCTAGAATTTGCATTAAAACTTAAGTCTACCAATATACAAACGTTTCATGCTCAGGAGACATCATCAGTCCTCAGATGACGAGCCCGTTCAGGAAAGGAAAAACAATCCTGATATTAATCTTATGACACACGACTTATGTTTCATCTGTACGATACACAAAGTCTACCTGACCTTGAATTCATACGTTCGATCCTGAATTTTATTTCATCATATATGTATCTTAAGTACTGACATTTATTACTGTCAGACTACTTCACTATAACTTTATTTTGCCAAATAAAGTTGCCAGCTCAACAATATATATATATATATATTTATTTTCAAATGTGATTTGTCGGTTAAACACACTGCATATTCACATATAAAAACAGTTTAAAACGTAAAATATCTCTTTAAACAAAAATGATATGATGGGTATTTACTTCTCTATCTATGTTAGTAAGAGGAAGAAGATACTAGATAATATGCGTAGTCTTAATTCTTTGTTGAAAAACAAGATTATTTTTGGTGAAAATAAACAAAAGCTGACAAATCACTGTAAAGCTAAAATCGTGTTTGAATATTCCCATAAAAATATTCAGAACATGTCATCAATGAGTTATTCGTTTACGACACATGTAGTTCAGGACAACAGTCTTAATCATCTACGATAAAAGTTTTTATTTTCTTCTGTATTTGCCTGAAAGCATGAAGCAGTACAAACGTATTTACAATGCAAAACAGGCGTTGAGTCACTGCAAATGTTGTTTTCCTATCAACAACATGTTATTCAAGAGAGTATCTAAAATATCGGTATGTCTGTGGACCATTGTGAACATACCGAACAACAGGTATTGTTATAATAATGAAACGACAGGGAAAAGCCGGTGCGGGAATAACGTAGACATCTAAAACAACACCACAAGGAAAAATAATATCACAACACCAGTAACCAAGCAGACACAAAACAACGATGGGAACTAATAGACATCAGTGACAATAATAACACAATACCAGTAACCGAGTAGATATCAAACACGAACAACAAAAGAAATTCCACTAAAACCACAGAAACAGCATAAAAAATTTAACAGCAATAACGAAACCCATAACTAATATGGACAGCGAAACAAACAGGCAAAGCAATGAAGCAAACCACATAACAACAGCGAAACAAACGTGACAAACATATTGAATACTGCTAACGCAATATATGTCCCCTACCGGACCCCAAAAGCTATTACACTGTTTACTATTATTATTACAGGCTATTTATAAAGATGATGCTGTTTGGTGTTTATTTGTATAAAGAAAAAATTATGCATTAAGTTTTAGACTAATTTGAATGGCACAATGCAATAAATATGTATGACATTCAAACAATTTAATTAGTTTTATTAGTGATATGTAATAATGATGTTATGGTCGTTTCAACGTGTATGAGGTTTTGAGGGAAGGATGCAAATAATGAGCTGATGACGATTGTCTAAAACCAGTTACGCTGACCTTAACTTTGACCCAACAACTCCGACACTAAAAGTATTTTTGATGCTTTTTAACTGTGTGAAGTTTGTTGCTAATAAATCAATCAATGATCCGCTAAAGAGTTGATTAAGACTTTTCGAAAATAATAACAGTGACAATTACATTATCCAACAACACTGAATCTCAAACTCTTCAAAGATGTTTTTATACTTACTAAATGTGCGATGTTTGATGAGAATCCCTCAAGGGATGAAGCCACTAGAGCGCCTTAACAACGACTTTATAAATATTCTTCTGTGACCTTGAACGAACAACATTGAAACTCGAAGTTGTCCTAGATATTTTGATGCTTAACACGTGCGTCTTAAGTTTGATAATCGTCTCAAACGCAAGGACGGACGTCCGGAGAGACAAACTATATTAACATCCCCGTCTATGGTTCAACAGGTATTGGACTAAACACAACAGAAACCACATAGAGACAGAATTTTTTTAAATGAAAAAGAAAATTACGCTACAGAGAGGGAAAAAATCAACAGAGACACCGAAAAAAATGACAACAAAAGAAAACATTTAACATTGGAAACCAAGGATAGAATAACACAGAAAGAAAGACAAACTGACGAACCGAAAAGACCGAGATATGTGATAAACTGATAAATGTCTTAAGCTGTGTGTATGTAATATATAGCCTCAAGGCATAGTGTTCAAAGATATAATCAATATCAAACGTTGAGGCAGAGAAAATGGAATCACGAAATAGTCCAAATCAATTGTATGTGTCGGCCACACCTATATAGATACAACTTACCATCGAAACGCATAATGTGGTCGACTGCTACATCATGCTGTTCGGTATAACTTACTTGTGATCAAAAATGACGTCCAAAGACAAATCGTAAACATGTGTTTCCGCTTGTAGTGATGTGATTATATTCAGTAAAATAGGTAGAACAGAAAAGAGTGTTCGGCAATATAACGGACACGTACAACATCAAATCAGTGAATCACGCCATTTAAAGAGACCTTTAATATGTAACATTCTAGATATAACAAAGCCGCACTACCCTATAATCTAAACCAAAAACAATTAAGTCATAGTTTCATTACTTATTCAAAGTTTTCAAGATCGTCTTCTTTTCCTTGACTGTTTATAATTTTATCATATTTTTTTTTAGAATGAACACTTCCTCTATGACAACAAAGATTTGCTGATGAAAGTAAAATTGAAAGACGAATGATGCCATTTGAAAAAATAAGCAATATAAAAAGTCTAAAATTTATCAATGTAGATAAATTTATATCAAATTTAATTACTTCTACAGTTTTATTACGTTATTATCAGCATGCTTTCAACGATATGTTTTCAAGATATTACCCTGTCAATGTATTATTTAGCACCATACATTTTTCCAAGAAATCCACATTCGATTTTGAATACATTTCCCGACAAGGAACCCACGAATTATTTTCGCGATAATATTCCGACTAGAAATCCATGACTAATTTTTAGCATACTTTTCCCGACAAGAAACCCACGCCTGATTTCCAGGAAACTTTTCCACACAAAACATCTTATTTTTAAGACACCTTCTCGAAAAAGAAGCCATGTCCTGTTTTCAGGATACTTTTCCCACAAGAAACACAAACGATCAGGGATAAAAGTCCTATCTCAAGAAAAGGTTAACTGTCAAGACAGGATTATTATCAAGATTTAAGGGTAGTTTTCTACGTTAGCGGAAGAATATTATTTATTATAAGCTCTGGAATAAATGCATGGAAGCTACGACACGAGTCCATCATACACGGGAAAACATTCATTGTGTATTTCTAAAGAACTAGTCAATTACAAGTAGTCACGAAAATGGCAATAAGACCGAGGGACGGCGATTGAATGATAAACCACGGACGACAAGTTATTTGAACATCCGACAAACATCCATAGTTAGAACTGTTGCAATGATGACAAACAGATGACGTATATACTATATATGATTTGAACCTGTCAGACTGAAACACTAACTCTTTCGTATATTTTTGAAATTACATCTTTAACACTCAGAGGCACTTCAAACTGTCGTTTGAGGGTTGACAACAATAAATGTACAACAATTACAACGTCCCTTGACTACCTGATATTTCAATTCCGACTCTGATATCTACACCATCTACTTTTAAGTAGGTTAACTCAAAATGTGGGCCACTTTTCGCAAATACTGTTTTAATGCCATCAATAAAACATGTTTGGGATTGGAAAATTGAATGGAACAATATTGCCCGATATCTTTGACCGAAAAAGACATCTCTTATTAAAATCTTTGATATCATCAATCATTCTTCCTATTTTTTATTGCTTTAATTTCGATCTTTTCGACATTTTTATTGTAAGATATTTCTTACTGTTTGACACTTCGACAGATCAGTAGGCTTCTAGTATTAAGGTACTAGTAACCTTCATTTCATGACATCGAAATAACGAGATTTTTCTAGGTTTGATTGGTAATGTCCCAAGAGGTGTCAGCCTTACAACATTACCAATTTACTATCCTAATATTTGATTATCTTGTTTCTAGTAGCGTTTCGAATAATAGGGACTGCGAGCCTAACCAAAGATAGAGGATCATGTGAATGAGCTATGAAATCGGCTTCCTCAGTTAAACGTGTTGGAATTTCAGTCGACAATAAGGATGGTCTACCTTGTGTTTTAGAGATACTGCATTATGACTTTACAGTAATGAAAAATGTTATATCGGCTTATTTCTCGTTAACTGCGACTTATCTCGAGTGACTGCTGACATCAAGATTAACTCCAAGTTTGCCTACTAAATATCAAGCGAAGACGACACATGCGCGACCGGAGCCATTCTTTCAGGACAAAAACGTAAAGATTATCATGTTCGGGGGTTCAATTACTTTTCTATTTTTAAAGATGGAATAAAATTGCGATATTTTTTGTTTGATGGGAATACAGCCAAGTCGCATATCATCCAGAACTAAGTATCCACGATTTCCACGGCGTGTCAGCACAAACCGGGGAGTTTATCGGGTTCCTGAGGAACACATACTGCCAAGGGAGCTAACCTATCGTGGATAATTTTTCTACACAGATTTCAACCATCGAAAAAAAATTCAAAATACAATTATCTATACTGGATGGTAAAAACTTACTGAAGCCATTCCTCTTCTCCATCACTTCCGGTTTCCTCTACAAAGTCTAAATCGATCCCGTCACAAACCGTATCGTAGACCATAGCTCAACGGCAACTCGCTGTAAAGTAGTAAACAAAAACTATACAACATATAAATAACTTCAAGACAACAGACTATTCGCACTATCATCAAATAAACAAGAGTAATTATAATACACCATAGCTCAAAGACAATAAACTGTTAATTAATAAACATCAGCAGTTATACATAATACACGATAGCCCCACACATATGACGGTGTTAACCCTTAAAAATTAGAAGTAATACAAAATATACTATAATCCCGCAATAAAGACACTGTTAACTGATAAACATCAGCATATATACAAAATATACTATAGCCACGAAAATAAGACACTATTAACCAAAAAAGATCAGCAGTAATATATACTTTATTTTACCCAAAAATACGATGGTCAACCTTTTAAAATCAGTAGTTATACAAAATATACTATAGCCCAAAAACAAGACACTGTTAACCTCTGAACTTCAGCAGTTATACGTAATATACTATAGTCCCTAAAATAAGATATTGTTAGCCTATTAACATCAGCAAATATACATAATATATTCCAGGCCAACAATAATACACTATCAGCTGAATAATATCAGCAGTTATGCATAATATACTATTACCCCCAACCCCATCCCCCCAAAAAGACGGTGTTAACATGGAAACATCAGCATGTATACACTATATACTATAGTCCCAAAATAAGACACTGTTAATTTATAAACATTAGCAGTTTTCCACATTGTACTTTATAGCCCCTAATAACCAAACTTTGTTAACCTTTAAACATCAGCAGGTCTGCATAATATACTAAAGTCCCAAAAATGAGACTGTTCAACGATAATCATCAGCAGTTATACAAAATATGATATAGCCCAAAAATAGACACCGTCAACCTGGAAATATCAGCAGTTATACATCATTGATATAGCCCAACAATAATATATTGTTTACCTATATAACATGCAGTTATACAGACTATAGCCACAAAAATACGACACTATTAACCCTGTGATAATTATGAATTGTACACCATGGCTCAAAGAAAGATTCGTTAACTTATAAACAATAATAATTATGAATTGTACACCATGGCTCAAAGAAAGATTCGTTAACTTATTAACAATGATAATTATGAATTGTACACCATGGCTCAAAGAAAGATTCGTTAACTTATAAACAATAATAATTATGAATTGTACACCATGGCTCAAAGAAAGATTCGTTAACTTATTAACAATGATAATTATGAATTGTACACCATGGCTCAAAGAAAGATTCGTTAACTTATAAACAATGATAATTATGAATTGTACACCCTGGCTCAAAGAAAGATTCGTTAACTTATTAACAATAATAATTATGAATCGTACACCATGGCTCAAAGAAAGATTCGTTAACTTATAAACAATAATAATTATGAATCGTACACCTTGGCTCAACAACAATTTACTGTTAATTAATAAACGTGTCAAAAAGTACACACTAACTCAAATTATACAAATAAATAAGAGAATTTATACATAGTGTATCACACAGTTGCTCAACGACAAATCGCCGCTGACAAATAAACAAATGTAGAATTACATTGCCTATAAGCACAAGCGCGCTTAAGGGCGATTCGCTGTGAACAAAAACACCGAATAACATTTATCATGCAAACATATAACATTTATATAACGACAATTCCTATCCGGTCCCTTGTTTAACGGATGCGTTAAGTCTGTAAGACATGTTGGTATATATGTTTGTAAGTTAAGCCGTAAAAAATATTTATAACTAATTACATATCTTGTAGTGATCTTATTAACATAATTGAGTGTTATTTTATTGGTGTGATCAATGGAAAACATGACGTCTTAATACTGATAGATCTCTATACCGGGTTAATTGTATTCTTCCCTTTCCATCTCGACACAACAAGGCTTTTCCCACCTCTCTTTTAAAAATATGGGAACTATTATATCTCCCTTTCTAAATCTTAACTCAAGTGGACTGTCTACTTCAGTTCTGTTTCCTTTATGAAGATATGAGGACTATTAAACCGTCATTACCGCATCTCAACAAACGGTAATTATCTACCTCCTCTCCACATATCTCATCATAGGAAACGTTTTGCATCTCTGATGAACCAAGTTGTTCAATGCCGTACTTTTCAGAAATAATAAGTTAAGTGTATCGTTGATTTTCCATTAAAATATCCATTTTCGTCATTTGTTTGATTATTTTATAAGGTAATAGTATTTCACATACTGTCGACAAAGATTAGAATAAAGAAATTAGATGGATTTCCTTGTAAGGATAAAAGATCGTGATTAGAAAAAAATAACATAGACCAATCATGAAGCAAAAAGAATAAGTGTAAAATATTAGCCAACTTATTTTTATTTCAATATAAATCGTCACCTTTATCAGATATCAGAACTTGTTTTCCCATTTGATCCATTTAATACCGGAAAGTGTTCTGTTTTCACATACATTTTTGTATTAATATCAATCCGTAACATACCTCTCTGATTTCAACATACCTGAGTTTTGTCGAGTTACTCTCACGCGAAATTAGTATTGACGTGAATATTCATGAGGTAGGATCATAAATTATGTCTAAACTTTGACGTCATATTCCATGTGACTTGGGAATGTGCTTGCATGTTATTTCAATTTGATGACGTCAATGATGAAATGAAAATGTTGTTTGCTAGTAGATTCTGCTTCCTAAATGCTGAAACGCCTTTAAAGGAGGATAGATTTTACTACATGTCATACTGTCATCAGACGCATGTATGTTGATATTTCAAGACAAATATTTTACTGTTGTATAGGTCAGTGTTACATACTATTTTTATATCTTTTTACCCATTTTATGGTAATCTAAATTAGTGCCCCTTATTTTATTTTGTAAACTTTTAATTTCATTGAATATACAAGAAATTGAACCAAAATGAGTGAACATATAACGGCGTTTTGTGTGAGGCAGTAGCCAGGGATTCCCCTTATCAGAGAACATTGGCGAAACGCATATAGTAGACATCCTCACATTGCAACTAAAGGTAATTGTCATTTTCCATTCTTATCTATTTACTTTTAAAAATTGTTTGTCCATCTCACAGTCAGAATATTATCTGTATAGATGAAATGCCATAGACTGTTCAGTACAAAGGATTTCTATGCGACAACATCTGTCCATTAGTGACAGGACATATATTGAGATATTCTCCTCATTATTCAATCAAACGTGTCCCCTGAAAATCACTTGCATGTTCATTGTACGTGCATGAAATACAATGGCTATCCCAACATCAGTCCTTTGTCTCATTTACATAAATAACATGTTTGTTTTTAAAACTAATAAATGACTGGTTTCAACGGTTCAGGAACAACACAAATGACTGATATCTCGTTTTTAGTTATCACTGGATGAATATTCTATTTGACGAGTACATGATTGTTGAAGTACTCCTTAACAAATTGTATTGTACATTTAAAAGGTGTGATGTAAAGCAAATACACGCATCAAAGCGATTGGCTTGTGTTATTGGTAGACGTAAGGAATACCACCATATCACAAAGTGATCGCGTATGTTGTGATGCCTTAGGCGACAGGCAACAACGACATAAATTGCTGGAAATAGACATTGAGTGACATTGAATCATTTAAACCCTTTGTAATGGCAACAGGTCATTAGTGTTAAGAAGCCAATTGTGATGGGGATTGTTGTTAACACGAACAAAGAGTTAAGTTACATGTGGACATATAAACAATTTGTTGCCTAGGGCTGAGGAAAATTTCCTACACTGACATATGTACACAGAAAAACTGTACAGTCAATACTATTGTCACAAAATGTTTTGATGATACTATGATTGGTTTTGTAGTCTCGATATTCATTGTCGGAAATGTACCCATTCGCGAGTTTCGGCGTTTTAATGAATTGTTAAGATTCAAACTAGATGTATGAAAATACCAATCAGTTACATACTCCTCCTTCAGGAAATAACTCGTCCTCGAGTTTCCAGTGGTTATCGCGATGCTGGTGGGGCATGGCTAAGTGATATTCCCGGGTCCCTACATGGGCGCCAATGTAACAGAGGTCATTATTTTTCCAATGCCTCCGCTAGGAATCGAACCCGGGTTATATATGGATAATATTATAATATTGCCATAACTCTGAAAAAAAACATAGCTGACAATAACCAAATCAAACAATACTAAACAATGTGCCAAATACAGTTCTGCGAGAAGAGAAATTATGACGAAATGACAGTTAAGGATAATGCGATATGCTCCCGGACATGAAATGATGGGTACAGAAAAATTCTCACTCATAAAAAATGAAGACGATGTCTAAAGAAGTGATTTAATTGAAACTTGATATTCTTACGATAACAAAAGCATTTTGGGAAAGCTGTAACAGATTGAACCGAATTCCATAGACTTCAAAATCTATATTTCACGAATCTCGTTTTAGATTTACAGATTGATGTGTATGGATGTATGAATACGTTTATATCCTATTGTTATGTACATTATAGAGCCACATCGAAAATAAACAAAATATACATATCATAAGTAGATGCACAAGGTGATTTTCCAGTCGTGCGATAGCAGACATTACAGAATGTTTCGGCTAAAATCCATCAACATGTACTATAAAGAACATGGACTTCGATTAATAAAGTTTAAGGTATATATTTTGTTCTGAAAAATTAGTGAAAACTTCCCATTTATATACGTGTTAAACAAAATCTAACAGTATTAAATGAGCAATAAAGTATACAACTTTGTGTTGGATTGTAAATAATGTCTAAAAAGGTGTTGAAAATACTTAATTGAAATTTAAATGACATATTACTGAAATGGTTTACCTTTGTTGTTTTTTTTTGTCGTGACACCAAGTACACGTGCGTGTGTTTAAATGAGTTACCTTCTTCACAACAGATCCTCGTGCGGTAGATTGGTAATGTATTAGCTTCAGGCTAATTCTTATGAGCAACACACAAATATCTTTTTACATTACGTGCAAAATATATTCCTTTTGAAGCAG